GTAGAGGAGAAGGTGTAAAAATGGGCACAGGTGTAAATATGGGCACCCCTCCCTAGTAGCTATGGGAGGTACTGAAGACTGGCGGCAAGGACTGTATATGGCGCCAGTTGCTAATATAAGATTGTACAGAGCAGTTGAAACCATTTTTTCAAGTAGTGTGGATGCAGCGTGAGTTATTTTGCAATTTGGTGTTTATTCTGGACTGCAAACTTTTGAGAGGTATGTGAAATCGTTTTCTTTTCATGTACTTATGTTCAGTTAAAAATAATTTGACAGTGATATCCGGAAAGCGGAGATCTTAAGCTATTATTTGAAGCACACCTTTAGTCACGCACGCTTTTAGGTTATTTGTGATAGTGGCCATCCTTCTTAGGTGGGGTTGGTGTAAATATGGGCCCCCATTTAAAGGGTGCCCATAATTACGCCAACTTTTATTAGTGGAGTTTAGCACATCAGGCTCTAGTTATGCCAATTAATAAGGCAGCTGAAATACTTCAATGTTCCCCGGGAACTTCAAGTGCAATTTCTCCGTTCGACATATCTCCTGTTCCCAACATTAAGAAGATAACCACTACTCGTGGACGCAAAGCAGCAAGGTCCAGCCTCATCACCGGATTACCATACAAGGATCAGTTGACCAAGACGCTAGACAAGTGCTCTCAAGAAGACGTCCTTGAGTTTTCCCGGGGTAAGAGACCGGCCAGAGGGCAGGGTGGGAAGACGAAATTCCTTCAAAAAAAGAAAATTCGGCCCACGCAAGGATACGATTCATCATCGGACTCATCAGACTCGATGACCCTCCTCTTATCTACAACGATGATGATACGAATCTAATAAATGTCAACGGTGGGGATAAACCAAACTCAAGCAATGCAACTTGCAGTTTTTGTGATGGTAAGTTCTCTGAAGACACTCGAGGAGAGGTGTGTAAGATGCGTTATGTGCCAAATGTGGGCACTGTGGTGGGGGTGAAAGAGCCAGTTATGTTTGCGATATCTGTAAATAATTTTTTTTCCTGTAATAAATAAATTCTCTACCATTTTGTATTATTTTATCCTGTTTTTAAACTATTTTTGGTGGCTTTTTTGAAGAGGGCCCATATTTACACCCCATTTTTTCTGGTGCTTTTTTTAAAGATTTTTGAAAATCGTCGTTTTCGAAATGAAATAATTGATCTTAATCATTGTTTTGCCTTCTCGCATTTAGGAAACTTGTTATAGTTGTTAATGAAAGATAAAAATCTAGAAATTTTCAAATTGAAAGTAACTTTATCCAAAAAACAAAAGAGGGTGCCCATATTTACACCTTTTCCTCTAACCCGGAAATTTAGGCGGTACCGAGCTAGCAGCGTTTCCTAGTGTAGAAAACACCATCCATATGAAAGGTCTATTTAAACTTTATATTCAATACTTTTCTGAATCATATTACTTCAAACATTAAAATATGCAAAAAGCATACAGAAACACATAATGTTGAAACATTTAATTTTGCAAAAAAGCTTTTTTGACAATTTTTATCAAACAATTTGAAGCTTCACGAAAAAAATCAGTACTTATAAACTAAAAAACCTAAAATAAAGAAAGCCCACGATTAAAAAAAAAAAATTCAAAAAGCTCCTTATATTGGACAAAAATTTTATATTGTTTTTGTCTTAAAGTTTTTAATTAGACGTAGAAAATCATTCTATAGAGAATTATCATCTAATTAGATAAAAATTATTTATAAGTAAATTTTTCATTGTCATATGAATCATAACACTTACCTGCTTAATAAATCTGGAGAATTCCAAATTGAAAATTTTATTCTCAAATTACATATACATTAATCATCATATCTTCATTAATTTAAGATGACATACCACACAATAAAATTTTATAATTGTAAGATCTGGATGTGAATTTCAATAATTTAAAAGCAATGAGCTTATTTAATTTAAAAACCAGAAGAGCTGAATTCCAGTTGAAATTACGCATTAAAAATTAAAAAATATTTGCCAAGAAAACGATAAAAATTTATCGTATTATATAGATACAAAAAGATAAACTATTCTATAAAGAAGAATATTCTATGACTATTACAGTTCTTCATGTTCTGAAGTCACATTTATTCATTAGAATGAAGTAAGCAATACGGAATGAAATAACCTCCCTTTAATTTATAAAGAATTTGAGGACAAAACAAATGTATTTTACCTTAATACACACATCTTTAACAGTATACCATCCCGTAATCGGAAGTTATCAGTTAAAAGTTGATTGATAATGTAAAGAAAAAATTATTGAGAAATTTTCTTCAAATGTTGAACGTTTTCTGTTTCCAAATGATTAACCGGCCTGGATCCCCATCTCAAATTCTTCTGTGTTTACCTAAGGGAAATTTTGCTTTTTATTTGCTGCTCAAAAAGTGTTCTTCTCTACCTATGATTCAGATACTTGTTGTTGTTGTAGTTCATTTACGTCGCACTAGAGCTGCACAATGGGCTGTCTTGCGACTGTCTGGGAAGCATCCCTGAGGATGATTCGAAGACATGCCATCATAATTTTGATCCTCAGCAGAGGGGATGGCACCGCTGCTTCGGTAGCCCAACGGCCTGCACGCGAAGTCGAGTATTTTAAGGTGGAACAGTTTAGCGATTACCAATACCGCACACACTCGGTCCATACGCAGAATGATCCAAGAGGTCACCCACCGACACACTGACCGCAGTCACTGATACTTAACTTCGGTGATCTGCTGGGAACCATGTCTTAACTATCAGTCCACTGCGGGACCTAATTCTGATTGAACTAAATGAAAACTTAGTAAATAAAAGCCTGAAAATATTTTTCCCGTTAAAGGGCGTATTCAAGCGTTGCAATTGCGAATTGTCCCAGCCGCAAGTGTGTGAACGTAATCAAGACGTCGGTCGGCTAACGCGGATGACAAGCTAAAGTTCCTGGAATATTTTTCCTGACTGGCAACACATTTAGTTTATTTATTGTTTACATTTAAGATGTCGCTGAAAAATTTTCACGTGTTTGTTGGCTCTGAAATTGGTTTATTAAAAGGTATATTATTATTAAAATAAACAACAATCATTTTGGATTTATTAAAAGTAGGTGATGGGAAGCGAGTTTTATCTAATAATCAGCTTACACTAATAAAAGCGCTCTCTACACAAAAGTTTTCTTATGTGCTGTTAAAGTGTAACAATAAGTTTTTATTTCCATCAAATTTTTCCTAAAATTCTGATCTCTAAACAGCTGAAAAAGCAAGCCAAGGAAAAAAGAGCATAGTAAAGTCTTGCTTTTCAACGAAAATCAAGAAAATTTTAATCTATTTCATTATTGGAATAAAATCATTCTGTTGCCAAGAAATATGATTTTACAGTTAGTTTTGTGTGCGCAGGGAGTTTATTTTTTTTTCATTACTCTGCATTTCACAGTTTAATTTTTCGGTAATTTAACATTTGAAAAAAATTTTTTTAGCACTACTTTTAACTACAGATAAATGAAAATTAGAAATTCCAATACCCTGTACAAAACCCCCAAAATTCAATATTACCCTTCCTTTATCATAAAAAATAATTGGGAAGATTTCCGTATCTTGAATCGGGGCAAAATAATCGCTCACAACACTTAACAGTGAGTACATAACTATGCCCTAAAACACATACAATATATCACATTTTAGCAATTTAGTATGACTGAATTCTTATAAATTTTAAAGGATTGAAAAGTCCTGGAGCTATATTTTTGTGTAACTCTCACTCAAGTTAAGCCCCTTATAAAAGTATTTATATCTACACATTGAATAAATTATAGATATATTTGTGAAATGAATTATTTAATTGCGAATGAGTTACTGTCATTTATTTATGTATGTAATGTGCCTACTAAAAAATCTAATAATAAGTATTCTAAAAAGAAGAAATTTTAGAATTATTTTACTGTAAATGGTCACCAGCTCTTTTAACATGACATATGAAGAAATTTTTAATTTATATTAAGTATTCCTTTAACTATCCCTAAGTTCCGATTCTTTCTTAGAGACAAAGCTGAATTCTTTTTGCTCATATTTTTAGAAATGTTTTAAAAATTGTGAAAGTAACTTTTAGTATCTCTTAAATAATGAAATTTTTTAGATAATCTACTTTTTGGTGACTTAATTTTAGCTAATTTTTTTAAACATTCGAAATAATTGAATAAATCCCTTTTCATTAATGTAAACATCTTCACTAAAATTTTTGCTTTTTTTAAGTTTACTTTGGGAAATATCCAAAAGCATTTGAAGATTTTTAAAATATATATTACGTCAAAATTGATATAATTTTTACAAACTAACATAATTTTACGTATTGAATCAGCTTGACAACAGGGATCTGTCCAGGCCAAATTTATGACCGTTTATCAGTACCTTCACAAATTCAACTTTAGGAAACACAAAATATTTTTTCTTAAAGTTTAACTTTTGTATCCCGTCAGAAACAATAAATCCATATTTTTACCACATTTTTTGTGTTAATTTTTAATATAGTTTTTAATGTTTACAAATTATGTCTAAATTTTCATAAAATAAGTACCTCACAGAAAAACCTAGACAGACCCCTGGACAAAGCACTATATTCATAACAGGTTTTATCCATGAAAATTAATACAAAATTTAAAAAAATCTCATATTAAACTACTTTCTAATTAAATTTTTGAAGCAATGATTTCTCTATGAAAAAAGTGTGATTTAAAACTATAGTTACTTAGAAATAAGTTTATAGTGTTTAAAACCAAATTGATTGTAATCAATGCACCTTGTTGGAGAAATAGAGATATTGAGTTAAAATATGTAATTTGATGGTTTATTAAAGTTAGTCTATGTATTATATTAAAATGTGATGTTTTTAAAAATGTTTTATTCATTTAAGATATTATTATATACATTTTTTAATTAAAGGTGTTGATACTGAGAAAAAGACATTTTCCAATTTAAATTCTGTGTCAGATTCGTCTAGAGATGAAGAAATTACAGCAATGTGTTGGGAAAGCTCTTCGCAAGAAAAGGTATTAAAATTAATAAGTATAAATATGTGATTAATATAATGTTCTTTTTATTATATTGCTTTTTAAAATTTTTATCTAGTTTATAGTGGTATAATGGTGTTATGTAGAAAAATATTTTTGAGTGATTTCTGGTTATAAGTCAGTGTTTTACTTGCTCTAAATTTTACTGTATAATGAATTAGGCTATTTTAATTACTTCTTATATAGAACCTTACTAAGTGGATAAAAGCACAATTTTATAGTCAGGGGTCTGTCCAGGCCGAATTTACTACCGTTTAGCGGTACCTTCACAAATTCAACTTTAGGAAAAACGGTAGTTTCACAAATTCAATTTTGGAAAAACGGTAGTTTCACAAAATACTTTTTCTTAAAGTTTCATTTTTGTATCCCTTAAGAAACGATAAATCCATATTTTTGTGTTGATTTCTTAATATAATTTTTAATTTTTCACAAATTACGTCTAAATTTTCACAAAATAGGTACCTGTCAGAAAAACCTAGACAGACCCCTGATAGTGAACAAATGTGATGGTCTTTTTGCTTTTAAAATTGATTGCTATATAGCTAAAATTGCACTAGTTGGTTTTATGAAAAAGTACCTGATTTATCTCTTTTATGTTTTTATTTAAATTTTAAGATGCTGTATTTCATAAACTAATGGATGTAATGAAGCAAAAAAATTTAAATATTCTTTCATCAGTGTTTAGAATACAATCACCAAGTTTCATATAAATTTTTTTAGCAATGATTTCTTTATAATTCTTCTGTTAGAAATTCAATGATTTTACATAGAACGGGTTTTTTAAATAAATTTGCCAAGTTTGAATAATCTCATTGCTTTTTTTTTTTCTCCTCTTGACAATATCATAAAGCTAACATTAATAGTAGTATTACAAAATATCCATTTGGTTTTAAATTATTTATTATTTAATTGAAAAAGAAGTGCTTTATTAAATATTTTAAGAGAAAAATTAAAAACAAAAAATCCTTTTTTTAAAAGTTCCTTTTTTCAAAAATTTTAATGAAGGGAAGAAAACGAAAGTGCTGATCAGTTGTAGGAATCATCCGCCAACATGTTGAATTACTGTGAGATTAAGTATTACTAGTACTATTTGAGGGGATAAAAATGATTTCTGCTGTAATTTTTGTTTATATGTTATTTGACCCAGAATCAGAACACCTTCTGTTACTTCCTTTCCAAATATTATATTTAAATGTATTTCTGTTTCGAAATTAAAATATTATCTATCAATGCTTGTTCAAATCTTTATCATTCTTTTCTTAATTATTCCACTAGGTATACACTGGTCATAAAAACCAGCTGATCAAAGCATATGATTGTGATACGGGAATATATACGACCATTCATGACTCAGAAATTGGACAAGGAGCTATCAAAGGACTCTGTCTTTTTAATGAGTAATTTATCTTTGTGACTTTTACTTTATTTAATTTGTCAGTTTTTAGTTAAGTCAAGTCATATAAAAAGTTATTATAATACAAATATTTTTCCATTAAATTCATGAAAATAGTAATAAAACGGAAGCTGCCTTTATTAATGAAAAAAACTTTTTATGAAAGTCATATTCATGAAATGTGTTTAGGTTTAATAAAAATATTTTGTTACATATATGTTTTAAAAAAAAGTAGTGGTTAAGTTATATATAGATTAGGAATCTGAAAGCAGCTTTTTACAACTTTTTTGGGCTATGTTAGTCTGCAAAATACATGTTGGTCATTTGCTTTAAATTTACAAAATTTTATACTGTTCAAAGTTATTTTCATAATACAGTGCAGAGCCCGTTATACGGAATTCGGAAAACCAAAAAACCGGAACGAAATTCGATAAATTTTCTCGCCATTTGAAAAAAAAATTTTTTTTTTCCTCAAAATTTTAGGATTTTTCTTTCTTTTTTGAAAGATGTTTACCTTACAATCATTTTGGAAATAATCATTAGTGTATTACTTCATCGTTTTTTCTTCTTTTTAAGATCATTACCAAATATTTTTTTTTTAGTTGGGTTTAACAATAAAAAATAACAGCTTTTTGTAGCGATTCAGAAAACCGGAAAAATCAGTTATCCGGAATAGCGATGGTCCCGATCGTTCAGGATAATCGGTTCCCTACTGTAATTTTAAAAACTTTTTATTAGATCAGCTTTGGACATAATAAAGTTCTTTACCACCTCAAGAATTTTAGTCGGGTATACTGCTCACTTGTTTGTGTTGACAGTCATATTAATTTGAAAAGAAAAGATGAAAATGGAAATTATGTATTATGAAAGAGATGAAAGAAATTATGAAAGAGATTAATCTTACTCTTAAATTCATTTGTCTTTGTCTCTAATTTAGAGCCAATTCAGGTGTAAATTTAATTACTAATAATCTGTTGTTGTGGTATGTTGTGATCACTCATATTTGTTCAAACTGTTTATTAAATGTTCAATTTTGTAAAGATGTGATATATAATCAACATGGTCGTGGTTAATTTATTAACCAGAGTAAATATTGAACAAAAATTAAATTATTTTAAATACTTAAATTTTATCGCATTTAATTTTTGAAATGTATTTGCTTACATTTCTGTACTCATTTTTGTCATTATTCATTTTTATTAATTTGTTGAAAAATTGTCTCATTTCTCCAACAAAGAAAAATTATAATAGAATGTTTAAACATTTTAGAAATCTTGTAACAGCTGTAGAATCTGGAGTTGTTAAAGTTTGGAATGAAGATAACCCTAAAGTAAGTTTTTATTTTAATGTTATTATTTGTGGAAAGTATTTAAATTTCATCTTTTTAACCTTGTACAGGTTTTATAAATTTAATCATTCTTTTATCCTATTGAAATTTATTTAATTTCTTATTTGATTATGAAGGAATGTTTTCAAATTATCTATTAATTATTTCTTAACAATGTCATTTGAGCTCAGGTTTTTTCTATTTATTATTTTAAAATTAATAAATGTTAGATAAGTCTAATAACTTATTTTATATGAAGTTTTATACCTATACATTTTATCAAATTCATTTAAGTTTCTACTTTTGAATATCCATAATACTTGTTTCATTTGCATTTATAAACTGTAGAGATTTAAAAATTGATTTGTTATTAATTTTTTTGAAAATTTTTCTTAATATTTTTAAGACTATCCAATAGGCCTAGTGAAAGGCTTGGAAATTAACTTTTAACTTGAAATTCAAAGGTTGTGCATCCCCTTTTTAAGTACAGTCAAAGCAGAGAATTTATTTTCGTTGTGATACGCAACTGCATCCTGCCCTTCACACGAAACATTCGAGTGACTAAACAAGATGCAGTTATTGTTTCCATGATGTATCTTCAACAAATGGCTTGCTAAGAATTGTAATTGCCCAGTATGCTGGACGCAACTATATTATTTGCTATAGTGAACCATCAGCAATTCCAGCAATATGTCCACTATAAACAATGGTTCCCTATATCCAAATTTTTAGAAAAACATGTTTTAGCATATCGTAGTTGAATTATTGAATTTAGAGATTGAGATTTTTCATAATTTGTTTGAAAAATTATTAACTAATTAATTAATAATCAAAAATTAAAGCAAAATTTCTTTACTTAGCTAGAAATTGATTTTAATGTTACATTTTCTGCAGAAAATTAGCAATTTTTGGTTAAACCTAATTTGTTTTTAAGTAGAGTTTATCAATTTTCTTCTCTGCAACCTGCAAAAAATTCAGTATTTTCTGATTGACTTTTGCTATAGAAAGAAATATTCTGGATATTTACTGTTAATTTTACTTCAGATAAAATTGGTGTTGAAATTTCATTTCCTCCTACATTTTCTTTTAATAAATCTTTTTCCATAACTCCTTTCTTTTGTTGAATTTCAGTAAGGCTACCAGAAGCGCACGCTATATCATCATAACAAATTCTTATAGTTGGCTTTGTAGTTAATGGGCAGTTTTTTAACATTTCTGAAGCACTTCTGTTTTTGAGATATTCTAATGAGAATTTTCGCTTTTCTGAGCCTTTCCTGTTTGTGCACACAAAAACTGGTACTCTTCCTTTGAAGAGCTTTCCATTAGTTTTCTCCTTTAAATTTTAACATCTGATTGAAAGTCATTTTGTAAAATAGTTCAGTTTGTCATCATTAAAAATACCTTTCTCTTCATAATCCTGTATAATATCCGGCCACACTTCAGCTTTCCTCTTTTCCACATCTGTTGCACAAGCACTTGCTTCTCCCCCAAACAATCTTTCCAGAAGAAATATTATTCTGTTAAATCTTACCAACCATTCTATGGAGGACACAAAACCCTTTTTCTCAAATTATTAACTATGACTAATTACTAAATTAACTTTGTCCTCAGTCGAAAATTGTTTCCCTTTTACAGAAGTTAAATTATGAGTTAAATTCTTTTCCCCTATCCGTTGTCAAGGAGTGATCTGTAAAGATTAGGACTTCTAGAGATAGGACGATTGCAAGAATTAAGTAGGGCACCATGTTAATAAGTTGTAGAACAAGTCTTTTCCTGTATCTGGGGTGAGGGGATACGAGAAGAATGAGCTGCTAAACATGTTCATGGTAGTTAAAGGCGATCATAATGGAGTGAAATACGACAACCTAAAAGAATGGTGTCACTTGTAGTCTTAACACCTGTAAGTTTAAAGTTGTAGGACTGGAAATAAAATCTGTCAAAATAAAATTTCAGTCCTCTATAACCTAGCTACCGATTTTTGGCTACAAGCTATTCACTGTATGTGTTTAAAATAATATTATCTAAATATGAGCTTGGACAGGACCACTAAAAATTTTCACTATAGCGGGGTTTGACTGTTTTTCAAATTTAAAACTAGATATTTGATTCATGAAGTTAATCTAAACAATTGTTTTAGGTTACAGTTAAAATTGGTCAAGAACCTTTTTTTATGTAGTCTAATTTGAATATATGTATTTTACATTATAAATATCCCTTTTTATTTCATATCTGACTCATAAAATTAATCGAAAACCCCTCACATATACTGTATAACTTCAGTATTTATTTTACTCTATATAAATGTCCTTTCTTATTTCATCCATCCTATTTATTAATTTTTATGTTTGCTTAATTTTTATGCTTGTTTTACAGAAGGTTGAGATAAACACTGAGGGCAATATTTGTAAAATGGAGAGAAATTTTTTCTCTCAATCTCAAATTGCAACTGGCGGTGAAGAAAATGACCTTAAAGTATGGGACTTGAATGCTTTTGAAAAAGCAATATTTATGGCTAAAAATGTAAGTTTTTAATTCACTACCAAAACATAAATTATTGAAATAAAAACTAAGGCATTTATTTTTGAATTTTAATGACTATTTGTACAGTTAGATTCTGAAGAAAAAAATTTGGATCTGCTGAAATTATAATTTTGACAAACATACCATTGCTGTTAACTTTAATACTTTTTGAAGAAGTTTTTCTTGTGAAAGTTTTTGTGGAAGTATTAGCTAAGAAACAATTAAAGTAAACAGAATTATTTTAAAAAAATTTACCATAACTTTATTTAAGTGTATTTGATTATCAGATGTTTAATGGACAATTACAGCATCATTTCAAAATTTATATTTTTTGTCCTACTTATTGGAAATTTTCTCCTTAATGTGAAAATCCAATTATTTTTTTCAACAAATGTTTATTTAATGTTAAACATTTAAATTGTCCTAAAAAAAGCTTCCGTAAGTTATTCGATAAAAAAACTATCCCTTGATTGATTCTGATGTACGGGGATCCTCATGCATCTTTGGAAAAACTCATCATACATCTGCTAAGGCTATTTCAATGCTCTTAGTTTTGATACCACTTATATTGTATGATTGTTCCTTGTCAAAGTTAAAATAATTAAGTCTTAAAATACTTAAAGCTTAATTACTTTATCAAAATCACTAACAAGATTGATTAGAAGTGGGTATGTGCTATTGTTCAAAGATTCAGGTGATGTAATTTAATTTTGCTGTATAATTTCAGCGAATTATAAAGCTAACAGTTTTTTTTTTTACTAAAACTGAAGGATTTTTTTTATTTACTAATGCAGTTTTTTTTTTTTTACTATGCTTTAATTGTTCAAATACTCGGTAATGCACATGCATATCAATTCTTAATATTATTCTTTGAATAAATAGATTTTTCTCTATGTATCGAAATTATTTTTATTTATAATTTCTCTTTCTGCAATATAGCATTTACAAAGAATGGTTCTTGTTAATTTATCACCTTATTTCTGTAAACAAAAAATTCTGTTAGTTCTTGCAAAGAGGAATAGTATAATTCATGCATTAAACCTATTTAATAATAAAAAAAATTAAATAAAGTGAAAGGAAAAAATCACAAGTTAAGTATTTGGTTTCACCAAAAAGCATATCATTGCTTTCAAGAATGTAGTTAGCTAAAAAATATCTGCCCATAATCATCATCGCCACAATCTAAGTAAATATATATGGGTTATAAGTGCTTATACTCAAAACTTCATTTGATATAATTGAAGTTTGCCATATAATTTCAGCGAATCATCTGGCTAAGCATTTTTGTTTTACTAAAGTTTAAAAATTCATGCAGTATGAAAATGATTCCTTATGCACCTTTTTTCTTTATTATTATTAAATATTGATATTCAAAACATTTTCATTTTTTGAGTTAATCGGAATTTTGCTGTAGCTAAAAATTATTTTTTGTAAAAAATTAAAAATAAGACATTAAGAAATAATTTTTTTAATGTGGCTACAAATGATTTTAAAAAAATTAAATTTATTTATTTATTTAATGTAAAATAATTTTATTTGAATATGTGTGTATTTTTAAATAATTTTTTCTCCTTTTAAGGTAAGAAATGATTTTCTAGATTTAAGAGTGCCAGTTTGGATTACAGACATGAAGTTTCAAGAATTGAATAAAATTGTTACGTGTACTCGCCACCATCAAGTAAGTAAAACTGTTTTTGAATTCTATTCCCTTATTTATTGATTACTTCATTAAGTTATTAAATAGTTTGAACCATCATCTTAAAAGCTGTATATCTAGAACAGTGGTTACCAACTGGAGGCCCGCGAACTAAATTATATTAGTTGTGATTTTTTTGCGGACAATTTTCATACAAAATCTGAATTGGTTTATAATACTTTTCTTATTGTTTCTGTGAAATTTAAAATAACAAAGGCGCAAAAAAAATTTATTTCCCATGTTTGCATCCAAGAAAATATTTATTCAAATACAAAAATAATAATGTATGTTGCTTTTTTTTTTTTTTTTTTTTTTTTTTTTTTTTTTTGTGAACATAATTTAGCATGTGCATATCAGAAATTTTCTAGAAGAAATTCTCCAATTTAACTTTTTAAAACCACTCATTTTGGACAAAATTGTTTACATCTGTAAATTTTAAAATTAAAATGTAAATATCTGTTCTCTGGTGGTTGCAGCAGACAAAAATCAATTCTCTCATTGGAACATTTTGTGTGCTACTATGTAAGTTTTAATACCAACCTTTCTAAAGTTTTATATCTTAACTTATACTTTCTTATCTTATTGTAGCCAGAATTTTTTTTTATATGCAATTAAATATTTTTAAAAATCTACTTCTTATTTAATTTGTAATTCAATACTTTTGTTTTGTACAACTTGATAAAAATCTGCCAGTAATATTTATGTTTCTTCAAACATAAAATAGTCCTTTATAAAATTTTGATAAAGTTATACCCTGCCATTTGACTGATGTTTTTAATTGTGGCCCCCGGCCTCATGTAAGTTGCAAACCCCTGATCTAGAACAAGAACACCAAAAGATACAGTTTATATCTAGGAACATAATCAACACTCAAATTGTAAATATTTCATGTGTTGTCATACAGGATTTTTGACCCACCCACAAAACCCTCACATAGTTTTTTTTTTTTAAAGACCCATGCTCAAATGGGTTTTTTATTAACATAATCAAAATCTATCCATATATCAATTGTTATTTTTTATTTGACTTAAAAATATTAATACATAAAACACAGATATGCATAACCCTACTTTCACAATGTAGTGTATTTAGATAAATATGTATGTAACTTTAAATTAATATAATAATTTTTCTTGCTTCAACATTAGGAAAAATCACTTTTTTTTTCAGTTTTGATTTGAACAGTTGCATTGTTAGGCTGGAATAACTTTGTCATTCTTTTTACTCCTTAATAAATAAGTTTTCAAATTTGAATAAAATAAGCATATATATAATCGCAACAAAATATTAAGGGTAGAATTTTTTATTTCTTTTCAAAAGAATATTTTTGTTTTATAAAATATACATATGGGTAGATCAAAATATTTTATTAGTATTTATATATTTATGCTACAACATAATAATTTAATTTTAAAAATTCATCAAATTTCAAACCATAATAAAATACTGAGTAATATGAAATTAACGTTTTCTTATTTTGCATTTTAAATTTTGTTTAATAAAAGTTTATATAATTGATTAATTATATTATTGATCACAGCAAAACTGATTCTACAGAAAAACATAGTTTAAAGAGCAATTCAAAAATCTTTTAAGAAAATTATTAAATAAACAGTTTTTATGTATTTTTAGTTGAGTATTTTTTAATCCTTGTTATAAAAGAGAGCGACAATTCTCCAATGTTATAAAGATGTTTAAACTTTTTCCATTTTCTTTTTAACAAACAATTAACAGGGATGAGTTTTTTTCGCTATTGTTTCGCAAATTTCAACCTCCTTATCAAAAACTTCCAATTCTTTAAAAGTTTCTTTTTTTAAAGAAATTAATATTCTGCTTTTTCTGGAAATTCAGTCGTTCAAATAAAATAATTTTATCTATTTCCGATTTTCAAAAATAAACAGAAAATTCAATCTACTTAGCTGCTAACCCTTCCGCATTTTTACTTATTTTAGCTATTTTCTTCGCTTATACACGCAGAAAATGAGATTGTTTGTATTTTTGCCGGCCCGTCAGACAACTTGTGTTTTCGTAATTAGGACGTCTCGCTGCATCTTGTTTATTGCCGCAAAAGGTAACGAAATAATAAAAGAAAATAGTGGTGGATTTGCAGTAAAAATATTTATTTGCTCATTCAATTAGTCTTGAAATTTTTTTTTTAATTAACAATTTCTAAACAAGAACAATGCGAACAAGCCTTTTAGAATGTGCTAATATCTTGATTCTTATTCACGTGAGTTAAAATTTGCTCGTTTCAATTCTTATTCAAGTGATTTGAATATAGTACATTGCGATTCTTATTTGCGAGATTTAAAAATCCAATAGTGCGATTTGTATTTACGCATTGTTAAAATCCTATGTAGCAATTCATATTCACGCGAATTTAAAATCCAATGTCGAGATTCATTTATGCAGCTTTAATATGGAATCATATTCACGCAATCAAAAAATTATGCATTGTTATTCATATTTATGTTATTCATGTTCATACAATTTTAAAAGTAATCATCAGGGTTTAAAAATCACTCTTTTTCTTTGTCAAATTTTTGGATATTGTAGCTTCTACACACACACACACATATATATATATATACAGGGTATCCGCGCACCTGAAAAGTCATGAAAAATCATGGAAAGTCATGAATTTCAGTATTGAACAAAATTTGTCATGAAATGTCATGATTTTTGCTATTTTTTTAAAAAAATCATGGAAAGTCATGAATTTAGGTCTCCCAGTGTTGCAAGTGCTGCGCCGATTCGTGCCAATTTTGGAAACCTGCGCCNAAATTAATAATTAAATAAGATGAAAAATAACTATATATATTCTTGGATTTCCTCTTTTTTACTCTAATCCCTGTATAAGGCAAACAGTCTTTTTTTATTTATTTTTTTAATTTTCAAATATATTTTGTTGCTAGAATTTATTTAGATGCGGTAGCGCTCTACACTCACGTGCCACAGGTTCGGGTTTGATCTTCGGACCGGGCAACGCTGACTCAGCCTTTCATCCCTTAAGTGGGTCGATAAATGAGTACCAAGCATGCTTGGGAACTAAACCCATGGGGTTCCGCGTTAGGCTTACAACCTAACCGGAACATCTGCTCCTGCACCTCAGAAGAAAACTGTCAAGAAAACTGAGATGGGCACATTAGGCCTTGACACTCTTTGGGCTGTAGCGCCACTGAGTTTAGTTTAGAATTTATTTAAGATTGTTTGCTTCCGAGAAAAGTTTTATTTTAAAACAGTTTTTTAATAGATAGTTTTTTTCCAAACATCTCTGGCCGAAAAAATCGTTAATAAATCTGTATTGTTCAGTATTCTAGATTGTTATTCTCCTACTTAATCTCCATGCATTTCTCATTAAATATGATAATAGCTCAGTATCAAAAACGTAATTTTTCATTCACAACCTTCTTGCTCTGATTGTAGGTTTATTTACTTTATTCCTAGTGAATAAGCATAGAAAATCTCAGGCAGTAATTTGTATATTAGTCATTTATAGAGGACTTTCCGGTTTCTGCTAAGGAACTTTTATCATTTAGTTGATAGAGTCAAAAATTCTTAACTCATTCATTGGTAAAAATGAAATGAAAGGGTACGAATGTACTTAAAAATGATCCATTATAAACTGGATAGTTTATTTATTTTTGTTGCAGGTACGCTTATATGATACCAGAGCTCAGAGACGTCCCGTGATTGATATGGAGTTTGAAAAATATCCTCTCATGTCTTTGTCTCTTGCACACAATGAGAATCAAATTGTGGTTGGAAGTAGTCGAGGCAGAATGGCTCTCATCGATTTAAGAAAAAAACTGCTTGTTCATGTCTTTAAAGGCTTTGCTGGAAGCATTAGATGTGTTCAGTGTCATCCTACTCAACCGTTAGTAGCGTCTTGTGGCTTGGACAGATTTCTCAGAATACATGAATTAAACCAACACAAACTTTTAAAAAAGGTAAAAATTGTATGCTTCATTGCACTGTTTGTGACTATTAAAAATTTACATCCTGTTTTTTCTTCTGTAAATATTTTAAAGCTTTTCTTGCTGACAGAACACTTGAGTTGTATACAAATTTCTCTATTTGTAAAGTAAAATTAATGCTACTAATGGCATACAAATATTTTTTTTTAATTGTATGTATCAACAACTTTTGTATTTTTTGCGTTTGAAAAATATATTGTTATCAACTATTTATTATTTATAATGAATCGTGAAAAAAAAATCCTGAAAAGAGTACATCATATTGCTATTTAGACTTAAACTAAAAAGTAAATATTTGGTTTATATTTCATAGAAAAAATATTAGCGAAAAGAATAAAACTTCACAAAAATATGTAAAAAAAATAAATAATAATAATAAAAAATTTTGTAAATTTTTAGAGTGGCAAAAATTAATAATTTGGTTTATTTGTTGGAAATATATGTAGATGAACTTAACTTCACAGAAAAAGTTTAACCCTTCAACTTTTGACACCAAACTCAGATCCGAGTACATTATGTTTGCTTTCTGTCCCAATATTCCATGCTGAAAATCTACTTAACAGCCATTTTTATGTACAAATTTGTGCAGGTAACAAATCTATTAAAAGTTACATAAAGTACTAAAACGAGACCTGCTCTGATTAAGTTACTAGGTCTCTTGTGTCAAGCAAAATTTCATTGAATTTGATTTTTGTTAAATTTAAAGTCCTGTAACTTAAAAGAAACATTATTGGGAAACATTATTATTATCATACTTATGAAATATTACGGGGAAAAAATAATTCAGTAAATTATTATTCGATTTATTATTGAAAAATACATGGCATAATTTTATCTGATTCAATAAATTTTATTAATGTGTAATACAGTGTTGAAAAATATATGCACATAGCATTTAATAATTTTTTGAAAACTCTTCTGCATAAATATATCATGCATTACACTTTCCTTTTGTTGTGTAATACAGAAAATTTATTGCTATTCTGAAAAAAAAGTGTTTTGAAATTTATTCTTCTAAAACATTTTAAGAGAAGTTATTATTATAATCAACCAAAGTTCAACCAGAATTTCACTGATATTAATAAGAATGACATGTAAGGATTTTAGAAAGAAGTTAGAAGAAACGCCAATTTAGGTCGAGAATGTTAGGTTTCTATATAAAATATAAATTAGAGAAGAATAGCATTAAGTAGAAATTAGAGACAGAATTAAGTAGAAATTGTTTAAAATTGTATATTGCAATTTAAAAAAAAAAAAATAGGCAATTGCAAATGCTTTTCCATAATTATTTTATTTTTAATACATGATAATAATAATAAAGGATTTTTAGCATTATAAATGTTGATTTTCTTACAGCTTTAATAAAACCCTAACTGCTTCGAATTAAGTTTCTTTTACTCCTGCTGAAACTTTAGCTTAGTTATTTATCTTTATTAAATTGTCATTGACGTTTTATTAAAAGCATTATTATTATTTTTTCTTCCAGATATATCTAAAAACTAAACTGAACACTCTTCTGTATAAAACTAATCTTGAAACTACAGACAGTGCAACAAATGAACCGGAGAAGAGTGTAGTACCAGTCAAACCAGCTAAAAATGATGAGGAAGAGGATGACATTTGGAGTGCTATGCCTGTAGTTAAAGAAGGGAAAAAAATAAAGAAAATTTTAAACAATGATATGGCTGAACCAGTTAAAAAGAAAAAGAAAAAAAATATTTAGTATGTAAATTATTCTTGATTTAATACACTATATTTCTTTTAAAATTTTATTTGGCATTTAATAATAATCAGTTTTTATTTTACTTGCTTAATTGAATTAGTAATATAACACAAAAGTAGTGTTTATGCTATTAATCAGTTAACTATTTTCGTACTTTATTTTTTGATTATTTATTTTTAAAAATCTTTTTCAAAAATTTTTGTTTCTGCAATATTCAATACTTTTTCTTTTTATATATTCTTTCTACTATCTAGTTCGAATTGTTCTCCCCGTTCATTCTGTATTGTCTCAGTCAAAAAATGCAATATGCATTTCTTAAAATTTTAATTCAAATATTCAGTTGTAAAAATTATTTATAGAGAGAGGAGGAGAAAACATGGAAAAATAATAGAGATTTTTTGAAAGAGAAGAAGATAAAATTAATTTGAAATACTTTTAAAAAAATTTAAAAGCCGTAAAACTAGATATGGAAAAGATATCTCGTCATCAGCTCACACTATTATGTCCACAAAAGGAGTAGTAATATGATGTATTAATATAGCCATAAAAAAAAATGAAAATAGTGCAAACTAAGCAAAAAATGCAAAATAAAACAAATCAAGCGAACAATAGAAAATAATAATTCAAGAAAATAATACTGAATGAAACTCGTATAAAATATAAAGCAAGTAACGAATTCATATTTAGTTTCCACTTACTGGCAACTTTCAAAAATGGTTTAAAATATTTTCCTAACAAGTCTGCCAGACTATAAAATATGAAAATAGAAGCGTAAATAGAAAATGATGCGGTCATTTTATAGCATGTTTAGCTAAAGTCTGGAAGCATGCTTGATTTGTTAATAAATGTTTTTAGAAGCATTAGTATTCCATGTAATTAGTTTATTTATATGAAGTTTAAAATCATTTCTTTTATCGTATCATTCAACAATGCAGATATTTTAATCCTTAAATCTGAAAAATTTAAATTAATATTATCGTCATGATTACAAAGCAATATTAATTTCTTTGGATAAATAGTATTTAAAAAAATTCCATAACTTTGAAAATTAATAACTCTGAAATCACCAATAGATCTAAAAACAAACTTAATATTAATAGTATAATTTATTTCATAATAGTGCAAAAATAAGTTAGCTAAGAGTGATGAAAAATTAGATTCTTCTAGTATTCCATCAATTGGAACAGAAATCTGTTTTCCATTGAAAAGATAATTATTAAAAAGACAAATATTAATAAGCATTTCCCAATAATGAACATCTTTTAGTTTCGAAGGGGAAAAGCTACTCCCCTTACTAAACTAAAAGATGTTGGGATTTTCTTTTATCCTTTTTGTCTTTATTGTGTGTATATATATTGCTAAAAGTTTTTTTTTTCTTTTTTCAGAGATATGTGCCAATTGAAGCCTAAAATAATCTGTAAAAATTGTAAATAAATTATTTTTTAAGAACACTTCTGTATTGTTTATCAAACTTTTGTACTGTTTATTTTTTATGTGTTTTGCACTGCTAAAACAAAACTTTTAGGAAATAAATTCCACTGTAATTGGTACCGAAAAATTATGAATTTCATTCCATTTTTTGTACATAAAAAGCAGATAAGAAGTTCTGAATCTTTGATCAATTTGGATCAAACACTTCTGATTAATCAGAAATGTATGGGGGGGGGGAAATTAAGTATCTAAATCAGTGGTACCTAATTTGTTTCAACTATGGAATTCTATTCCTAAATTATCAATCTTTTTTTTGTTGAAATGCTAGACCTGAAATGGTGAACCTTTTCCTGATTAGTATACCAGTAAAAACTCCAATTCATTATTTTCTTGTGTCCAGTGTCCTTTTAGTAATGTTTCTTTTTTTAAAATACAATCTGTAAGCCAATGCTTTGATTTCCAACCATGGAATAGCATTGAATACTTAATTGCTGGTTAGTTGTAACTATCATTAAATCAAAAGCAAGGAGGTTTCCTCTGATCGGTTATGTATTTTATTTAAAAACCAGTGTTAAATAGTTGATCCAATTGCGAGTTTATGACTATCCAAGTTAAACTCTGTGGCCCTGGAATTTTGAACCAACTGCTGAAGATAGGAGAACTCCAGAGTTGGCATTGAAGCAAATTTGCCTTCATGGAAAATTTTTTGATGAAACTAAGCTGCATTTGCTTTACATGGTGGGAAAAGCCACGAAAACTTCCCTCGGTTAATCCAACCTCGAAAGGACTCTAACCCATGGTCTGCCTCCCACTGAGGATATTTTATGTCACCCCAATGACCAGCGTAAGCTGAATTTGTATCGACCAGCCAATGCTGGGATTCAAACTTGGGCATCCTCACTGGTAAGCAAATGATCTATCCCATGAGCCACTGTGGCTCAATCAGTTAAATAGAATTCATTGATGAAAATACCTGCGCAGTATGTTATACTGATGCACTGAAATTTTTGCAATGCAGATGTTGTGGCTCGGGGAATAGAATGCTTGACTACCTATGAGGTGAACCGTGTTCGAATCTCAGTAATGGCTGGTCGATATGAAGCAATCTATCAACAAAAAAAGCACCTTTTTTTCTGGCAAAACCCACACTAAAGAGGTTTTACTTGTTTTTTAAAAAATTTTATTATTGAATATTTAGAACCTTTTTTTTTTTTTATATCTTAAAGAGTTGCCCTTCTCTTCAAAACATATTTTCTAAATATGCTAAGAAAAATACTCACATTTTATGTTAAAAATGCAATTGGGAGAAAATTTATAAGTGTTAAGTTGTAAAGAAATAAACAAAAATTTAATATATAAAATCTGTTTTATATAAAATCAATTCTGGTATGAATGCATGATAATTTTTTCTTAATTCATAATGTAAAATGGGAGTTCATTACCTGCAACCCACGAAAGCACCTGAACTTAATAAAAAAAAAAAATTGAATTTCGCATTTAAGTTTTTGACAAACGAAATCTTAACATAGTTTTTCGATCGCTTTTCTCGTCGGTTTAAAAATTCCACACTTTTTTTTTATGCAACCTTAATACAAAACGCGAATTTCGAATTTTTGTAATCACTTTTGACACCCTTTATTTGTGCTAATTTCCCATCAAATTCAATAGCTCTCTTTTCGATTATTTTTGCTGTAGTTATTGCTACTGATATCCACTAATACTTTAAAATTGCGATATTTTTAATGCATTCTAACCTGTCTAGAGTTTTTATCTGTGCATTTAAATGAACGCGTTTTGATGAATTTTATTTGTGCAATTTTCATTGTAAATGCAAGTGATTTTTTTAAGCAATTATTGTCACGTTTTTCCACTTAGTTTCGAAAATCTTGATAGTTTAACACAAAATTATTTCAATTCGAAATTCGATTGTTTCAAATGTTTTAAAGCTTGAAAAATTCTTTTTTCGAAAGAAAAAAAAAAGAAATATTTATAATTAGTAAAGCCTATTATAATTTATTTAATATAAAAGTCTTGAAGTATATTTTCTACTGAATGATGAATCTTTTTTTATAATAGTTTTTAAATGGTTTTAAACCCTATAAGTTTACTTTATTTGAAGTATTTAAATTGCATCTATATTACTCAATAGAATATTTTTTTTAATTAAATTCTATTAACGTTAAAGTTTTTGTTGTTGGAATTTATCTTAAAATTTACTATTGTTCTAAATAAAAGGAACCATTACTTTTAACCCCATTAATTTTATTTATTTCAAATCAAACTTTTTTTTTTTAGAAGAATATTTTTTTATAAAATAAAAAAAAGTCTTGCATTCTTTAATAATAAAATGTTTAATGTTTAAAAGTATTTAATTTTATAATATATTATTCATTAGAATATTTTTTTAAGTTAAATTCTATTAACATTAAAGTTTTTGTTGTTAGAATTTATCTTAAAATACGCAATTGCGGGTTAGAGAACAAAAAGTCCTAAGGCTAAGTCCAATGCCTGATCCAGGAGTTCCCTTGTCTCCTGGGTTGGGTTCAAAACTGTAAGGCTATTCAGTTGAATATCGATAGTCATAAACCCAAAAATGGATAGCTGTGCAACGCTGGAAATAAAATGAAATTATTTGTAATATAGATTAGACTCTATCCTTAACTCATCCCCAGAGGGATCACGAACCTATATTTTTGGAAGGGGGCCTATTTTGAAGAATGAAATTTTTAATTTGATCAAATCGTTAATAACTAGGTAATTCATTAGTTTTAATTTTAAAAAATATTTTGTTACTAATATTTTCACAATACGTTAATCCCCCCCCCCAATGTATTGTTGATTTAACGACTTCATACGAAATTATTCTAACCAATTAGCTGCGATCTGTCACTCGATAAGGAATTGAACCGTTGTGAAGAATTGGTGTTTCGATCCCCAGTGACAGCTCGAAGCCCACTTGCCCAGCTTCAGATCGATGACTACCAGTTTGCCTGGGAGGTAACTACTGTCGGAGAGCAACGTGTTGACCACGTTCGCCATCCATTGTCTGAAATTGTCACATTGTGAAGCCTTAACCTCCATGAACCCTCTGGCACACAACGGGCTGTTGCAGTGATGCTTTACACTTATTCTAGTAAGAAAAAAAGTTGAACCATTTGATAAATAAACATTTAAAAAAAGAGAGACGTCAGTTTTTGGCTAAGATGAGGACATAATATTTCTTATCCGCTTATCCCATGAATCGAATGACAAATTATTTAGTAATCAGCATATCTCGTCGAATGCTGGATAGAAATAAATTAGGTTGAATGAGAATCACGCAAAATATAGTTTCTGATAATTCACAGTTGAATTCATTTTTACTTTTTTTCTCGCTGAATCGTAAGGATTTTGTAAGAACCTCCCACCAATTATAAAGATACGTATATAATTTCTGTCAGCTCAAAGTTTTTTTTATGAACACAAGAGAGAGCTCGCTGTCGCTCATTAACCCCCGAAAATTTGCAAACGAGCTTCTCTTTTTTTTTTCTTCTTTAATACCCCAATTTTTTTGTCTTAACATTATTTTATATTACTTCAAAGGATGCGCCCTCTGTTATTTATTGCTCTCCAATCTTCTTAGCTTTACAATTTAATTACACCAAAAAAGAGAAATTTAAACAAAGATACGTTGTCTATAATTTCATTTGTTTTTTTCTAAATAAAATAAGAGAAAAAGAATTTTCGTAAATGCCGAATGGTCAAGCAAAATTTGCCGAGTAGTGAAAATATTTGGGAGTGTTAACGATTTCAGAAAATAAAATAAATGCAAAATAAAAAAATAATATTCTGTAAGGAACTTCGATATGAACATCGACTACAAGCAACACCTCCTAGAAGTAGAAAGGCCTCAGCACGGATCAATTTAGTAGTCCGATGTGACGAAGAACTCTTTACTACTTTATATTCCCTCTTATTTATGTATTATTATTTATTTTTTTGTGAAAAAAAGGACACGTGGAGACGAAGTGGAATTTTTTCTATCAAATGGATTAATTTGCCTTTATTGTCTTAGTCTTTCATGATCTTCTTCACTCTTTTCTGATCTAAGAAGGAAATGACTGTAATACGCACCCTCAAAAAATCCCTATCACTACGCAAAAAAAAAAAAAAAATTAGCTTCCTGCATTACTTTTAACTTAATGATTGGATTTTCCTGTACAAGGACTCGATTCATTCAAGGGCTTAACCTTAAATATATTAATTAATTAGCACAGATAATAATTTAAGTTACGAAATCAGACGCAAACATGCGCTTTCTCTGAATAAACATATCTTTTTCAAGACAGATTTGAATTTCTGACCTTCGAAATATGGGAGGTTGCCAAATTAGAATTTGATAAATGTGATCCGAATAGTTTTATGTATTTCGTTATAGGCGATCGAAAGAGCTACAGGTGGCATAGAGCAGAACTACCTATGGCAACACTTCGTATGCTTTTAACATTAGCTTGTGGTGTGTCATAGAAGAAAGAAGTACGTTAGTTTCTCTTTTAACTTTTAAATAGATTAAAAACTTTTAAGTTGGGAAACTATTTGGAATTTCAAACTATATTGAACATAGTTCTAGAAGAAAACGTGGAAATTTAAAAAAGAGAAATATTTTTGATAATTAAATGAGAAAAATATTAAGAAAAAGGAAAATATATCGTGGTACATTTCTATATAACGGAGAAGAAGAGGAGAGAGAACGGGGAAGGCTCAAGACACGGAATCGGTATTCTACCCAGATGGCGTATTCAAGCGCTACGATCGCGATTTATCTCAAAAATTTTTTACGAATCGAGAAATTTTTTAGAATTGAATAATTCGAATATGCCATTTGGGGAAAAGACTGGTTTCATGTCTATAACTTCCTTCACTCTGCAGCTATGCTCAGATGAATGGGAGTGTATTGCGTTGTTTCCCCTTCTTTAAAATTTGTTCACTTTAAATTATCAAAAATATAATTTAAAATTTCCACGAAAATTACATTGAGCTCTATGTTCAATGCAGTAATTTTTTAATCGGTTTTAAAATCAATCTAAACCCAGCATACTTCCTATGACTGTCAAGCTTATATAGTGTTGCCATAGGTAAAAAGTTCTGCTATGCGCTACCTTTAGCCAAAGTGTGCAATTTTGATAAGTCACGGTACTTTTATTTACGTTACACTAGAGATGCACAATGGGCTATTAGCGACAGTCTGGGAAATATTCCTGAGAATGATCCGGGGATCGACTTAATATTCTAGGAAGTTTTATTATTGTAATTTGTGTTTAAATTTACACGTAATTTTACCATTATTAAGAGTTTTCAGTAATTTATAAATTTTAACTGGTCGTGAGCTAAAGATAGATTGAAAGAACGAGTTACATTTTAAACACTACAAATATAATAATAATACTGGTTGGGTCCCGCAGTGGACTGCTGTCAGTGTGCAGGTGAGTGATCACTTGGATCAGTCTGCGTAGGGACCGAGGATGTGTGGTAGTGGTCCTCGTTAAACTGTTCTACCTTAAAGTACTCGACTTCATGGGTAGGTCGTCGGGCTACCGTAGCGGGGGTGCCATCCCCTCTGCAGAGGATCAAAATTGTGATGGCATGTCTTTGGATCACCCTCAGGAATGTTTCCCAGACCGTCACCAACAGCCCATTGTGCAGCTCTTAGTGTGACGTAAAAAGGAACTGCAACTACAATACTGGTTGGTGCGTTTTTTTCAAGCTAAGCGCGTAAAAATCATTCGGAAGTAATAAGACGAAAGTTTTACGACGAATTTTAACACTTAGCGCTATCTACGCTTATCTTTACAAGGGGTTAGCTTGCATTTCTTAAAGGGACACTCTTACTGTATGCGAAAAATTCGCAATTTTGGAAGTGTGACGGCAATATGATTGGTAAGCTTTTCAGGTAAAATTTTCTCCTTTGAAGTTTTTGCATGTAGTGTAGAAGTTTCCAAAGTCCAAAATGCAGCCATTCTCATTTTAAGAAATGCTATTTTCTTTGAAAATATGACTTTAATAAAAATTAAGCCTTCCCTCTCCTCCTCTTTTCAGTTGTATATGAATGTAATGCGATATTTTCTCTTTTCCCAATATTTTTCCTTTTTATTTAATAAAAATATTTCTCAAAATTTCCATGATGCTTTCCTTTAGAATTATGTTTAATTTAGTTTTTAGTTCCATATTGTTTTCCAACTTAAAAAATTTTAATCTATATGAAAATCAAGAGAGAAACTAACGTACTTCCTTTTTCTATGACTCTCCACACACTAATGAGGAAAGCATGTGAAGTGTTGCCATAGGTAGAGAGTTCTGCTTTACGCCACCTGCATCCCATTTTTATCGCCAATTTTGAAAAGTATCAGTTTTGTAACCGTCACTATGATACCAAAACTAATTAATTACGTTTCGTCTGTGAACGTAGTGAATTTAAAGGAAACATATGTTTCAAGGCAATTTGTTAGATCTTTTCTTGTCCATTCAATAAACTCAAAATTTTTTCAAGATGCTCGACCTTTTTACCATTTTTAGCAAGAGTGGAATTGTTCTTTGGTGTTTTCAAGGGACATCACAAATATTTACGTCACCTGTAAATAGTTTGATACGTTCCGTTATATTGCAGGTAAACATTGCGTTTTGATCTGTTACCCTAATTAAATTAATACAACTTTTAATAGGCCATTATACGTGTTATTTTTTATTATCTATTGGATCGATTTTTAAAGTTTATCACTGTTACAATTAACTTTTAAATTATAATAAATTTTTGTTTGTCTATTTTATAAGTGAAAGTTTTATTTTGAGATTAAAATTATCACAATCTAGGGGATAATTTCACGATAAAGCTCTTTAATCGTATTTGATAGGATATAGGATTTCAATTTCATTATTGTATTCTTGATAGTAATTGAAAATTTTTAAAGGTTAGTTAATTTGTATAATTTATATGGAAATTCTTTTTTTTTTTCGATTAAGCATATAAAATTATTGCTAGATATTTAAAGTGCATAATTTAATTTTCTCTGTGATTTTGCTGAAATTTTGAGTTTTACAATTTTTAGCGTTAAATTAAAGGACGTAACGAAATTCGCCACTGGTATTGCGCAGTTTAAATTCTGCTTTATTATTTTCGAAAACCGTCTAGAACATGGGTTTTTGTCTAAATTTTTATTTGGAAAAATGTAAATGCTATAGAATAAACTCACCCTTTTTAATACTTTTATTCCATGAACTGTGTCTTGTATTTTTATAATGACACATGCCATATTTTTATTTTTAATGTTGTAAGGGCTACAATAGGTACTGAAATAAAATAAACATATTAATGTGAAAACTTCCTTTTGATGACTATAGTTTGCCATTATTTCAAAAAATGGATTTTACTTGAATAATACAAGTACAAAGCATTATGTAAACAGCATAAAGTATGTGTTTTGTAGCCATCTTAGAGTTGGCGTGTAACAAAATCATAGTTGTCAGTTATTTTATAACAATGACAATACTGAAATTTTATTTATTATTTAAAAAGTTTGGGGGGATTCAGGTGCTTGAACTGGTGCAAAACAAAACATTTGTTGGTAACAAAAAAAATTCACCAACTTTAAGCAACTTTCAGACTGTGGCTAGCAAGAAACTAAGAAAAACATAGGGATATTTCCGTATCGTGATCTGTCTCGCCAACTACAATCGCCAAGATGCCAAATAGATTTTAAATTTGCAAATTTAAAAAAACAACAACATGTAAATGTTTGCCCGGGGGTTGCTTCGAGTTGGTCCCTTTCTGTGATGTTTTTTTTTAAGTTTCTCGCGGGCCACCTCGCGGAAGTTTCCAAGTCTTGGCGATTATTCTTCCACAGATCCCGATATAGAAATCTCCCCCAAAACATCACGAAAAGAGCCAGATTTGAAGAATACCTATATTTTGTAGCCATTTTTAAGCAAACTTCTACACATGTTTTTCTTTTTATAATTTGTTGCAAGTTTAAAGTCCATTTGGTGCTTTAATATTTGTAGTTGATTTACGGTAATATCCCCAACATTAATTTTCTACAATAATGATATGTCCGTATCGTGATCTGTGGCACCAACTACAATTGCCAGACTGATTTTAAACTTGCAAATTATTAATATATAAAAAAATACATGTAGATATTTTCCCAGGTGTGGTTTTCCTGTCATGTATTTTTTTAAAAAAATTTCCTTCCGGCTGCTGCCAGATCACAATTTGTAAATCTTCTCCTTGCAATAAATTATCAATGATTACTACACCTTAAATATTTTAAAAATAGGGAAATTGAGTGACTACAATCCTTTGCCAAGAGAGTCGCGAAGGTTTGCCTATTATCTGGCAGTTAGGATTCATCAAACATCCCTCTAGAGATAAATCACTGTCACTAAATCACTAAAAGTATTCACTTACCTTAAAAAAGTTGATATATAAAATATTTCTGTTTATTAAAATAATTTAGAGGGATCTACAATAACAGGAAAATTTAAGACTTTCTTTAAAAATTCATCTGATTTAATGTTTTTCATATTCAGTTATTGATATTTTTTTGTTAAAAATAATTTTATAATATTCTAGTAATAATTAATAGTATCAATTTTAAAAATGTATTCTAAGCAATTTAAAATAAAAAAAAAATATTAAAACGTTTAGACAATCATAACATTACAGCAGTGATAATCATCGGATGCTTATGTACAAAATTAAAATTTTAAAGATGGCTTTACTGAAATCTTTTTAATTAAGCTAGGTTTCATGATGTCTAAACCAATGGCTAATTGTATATACGAATTTCCTTTAGATTGTTGAAAATATGTATAGTTCTTGCTTGATTAATAATTATTTTACATATATATTATTTACTAATATTGATTGAGCAGATTTTAAAGTAGAAATATTGAGGGAAGTAAGAAAGCAAAATATGCAATTAAAAAATAGGACAAAAATTCTCAAATAAAAAAAGAAAAAGAAATGAAACTAAAGTTAAAATCCCTAAAAAAAGTTACAAAAATATTTTTATTTATCCCTTATTTATAACAAATTAATTTATAATTTAATTTAAATATTTATCTGAACATAGAATTTTATTTAATAAATTTAGAGAACCTAACATGGTTAAGTAATTGAAATACAAACTTATAAATGTATTAAAGTACAATGAAATTGCTCAGCCTTATCCATAGATATGACAACAATAACCCAGTCGAAAAAAAGAAAAAAAACCCAACTTTTTGAGGGAAAAAGAGAAGCAAACCACACTCTGATCACGACTAATAGTTCGATGGTGCGATGTGGCTTATCTGTATAAGAGTAAATCGGTAAATCAAATCGAGGGAGATTACTGGTGTTTGGAAATAAGCTGCTTGAGACAACCAGAGCTGACAACTGGTTGTTTGTAGTGCCATTTGAAATATTTTGGAATAGTGTTATGCATTAAATGAGAATTGTCATGAGAAGTGAATTTAAAAGGAGAGATTCTTGAATTTGTAATTGTGTAGCATGGATTAGGTGTCAATCTGAAGCTACGTCCAGCTGCTGCTGTCCTCTCTTGTCCTCTTGCTAGTTAATTGCCACTGGTTAGTTGTCACGTGTGGAAAGTTAAAATTTGCTAGTTTAAATAAGAATAAATATTTTAAAAATATTTCCAATTTTGTACTGTTAAGTGTCTGTGAATTTTTTCAGATTTGTAATTTTATATTTGCATCATCTTTAGATGGTGTTCCAATATATTATGGATTTTGACTGATTGTATGAAGTGTTGTATGTAAAAGAGGGCTAGAGGGTTTTTGAACCACACTACTATAGAAATTAATTAAAAAATAATAATTTGTCTGAAATGCAGCTGGAAATATTGACTTGAATATCAAAGAAAGGAGCTGAATTTAAGAACAAAATGGTTGTTTGGGATTTCAAGCTTGATAATGTTGTAAAGTTATGGAAAATGTCAGAAAGGAATGGAATGTGTCAGAATTTTAATAAAAATAAAATATTTTATTCAAATCTTTCAATTTTTTAGAACTTCTTTTAGACGTATGTCAAGCTAAATATTAAAAAATGAAAATACCACTTATTTCTTTTGCAATCTGCTATTTCATCCATAGAAGTCTTTTTATGAAATTGGTCTCTTTTATTTGTTTGTATTCCAAATATCTATTTTACTCCTCCAAAAGGAATTTTACATCAAAAAAGTCAAGGAGTATTTTTTTTCCCTTGAAAAAAAAATACTAGTTATATGTCTGATTAATGATAAAAGTTATTGCATCATTAAAATAAGTAAATAATTTTAGGAACGAGGTGGAAATGAAAGCTTCACTCATGACAGCCTTACACTTAAGTACAAACTGGACAATGAATTTGAGCTTGTCTTTGTGGTAAGTAGACTAGACCTTATATAATTTCTTTTACATATTTAATTTGACTTGGCTTATGTTAATTTAGTGTTGTACTATTGTTATATGTTGCTTCTCTTCTGTGGTTAACACATTTTATCATGGACTGCCTAGCAAAGAAAAAGTGAGATAACTTGTAGCGAAAATTAGAAAACTTTGCTACTGGTCAGTTGTAGCTTTTTTAACAGTGGCCATTTTTTAAGAAATTGAAAGCTTAAAACTAATAAAAAGAGCTTGATATTCATACTGTAAAGTATTTCTTGAAATTTGGTAAACACTTCAAGATTAATTTCTAAAATAAAGAAAAAGTTTGAGAAAGAAGCCTGAAATAAAGTAATTTTCAGAATTTAAATAATGACATTGTGTGGAGTTTAAAGAGAAAACACTCTAGCATTTAAGAAGCATAATTTATTAATAATTAACAACATTTAATTTAATTTAGAATTCAGGAGTTACGTTTTAATGCAACACTGACATAAATCCCCCTTCATCATAGTTAGAAGTTGATGGCAGCTATCAATTTTGCCCTATAGAAGGGCTCTGTTACAAATTGAAACTCTTTGTTTCTTGTACTAATTATACAGTTATCAAAGTATTATAGCTGCATGTCAGTGCATTAATCATGTAGCAGGCATAAAAGTTTTTCCCTATTTACCTTGATAGAATTTTATTTTTGTTAGGAATTGTAATGAAGTGCCTTGTTATTTTATTGTTAAAAGCTAAAAGTTAGAAAAGTTTTTATCATACAAAACATCTATCATGTTTTACTTATAAAATATTCTTTTTAAGTACTTTTGATCATATTTACACTTTTATTTGATTTTATTCTCTTCTGAATACATTTTTGTGCTGTGTACTGTTTTTAATAATTGTCTGTATTTTAATAAATCTGTTCAATATATATTGCCTTTTGATTTGTTTTTCAAAAACTGTTTGTTTGGCGCAACATGTTCTGTCCTGGACCTTGTGCCATTAAACTTCATTGATTTGCTCAGTTAGGGAATTTAATGTGAAAATATTGTAGATTCATTAATACAAATTGGCCTTTTTTTTAGTGGAAGTCTTTTAGTATGTTTCTGCATTTTCATGACATTTAATTTTTTTTGAATTTGTTGTTGAGGTGTGTCTTTCTTGAACTTGCTTCAGAAATTACATTAATGCATTGCTATTTTATCTATTTACCAGAAATGTGACAATGTATTTAAAAAGTTTTGTAAGCATGTGTGTATTTAATTAAATTTTAAAATCATATTTTTATAAGATTAAATCAATTGACACTATTCTGTAAGTATTTATGAATACTTAAATACTCACTGAAATTCATAACCAATTTTTAAAAAAATTTTTTTACCAGACAAATTAAAAAAATCCTAGTCTAGCAATATTTAAAGTTAGATTATAATTTTTTTTTATTGTTTATGATGAAACTAAATTTTTGTTAAGGTTCAGAATTATATTGTATTACTTAAAACATATTTCAATTAAGATTCTTCCCTTATTGTGTATGAATTTTATTATTTGTTTTTAGGTAGCCTATCAGAAAATCCTACAGTTGTCTTATATAGATAAATTTCTTGATGATGTGCATTTGGAATTCAGAGATAAATACAGAAAACAGTTAGAAGGCTGTGATTTTTTCTCCAATTATGATTTTAATAGGGAGTTTCAAAGGGTAAGTTCTTAGTTTCTTTTCAAAAGGTAAATTTAGTTTATAATTATATTAGGTAAGAAAACTTAGTCTTATAAAAGAAGTGTTTTTTTTGTCACTATTCATGAAATTTTGTTATTTATTATAAATGAAAGTCTTATGCTGAGTAGTTAAAAAGAAAAGTTGTTAAAGATAGAAAGTGTTAAAAATACATTAAACGAATTAGCTATTTAATTAAGTTATTAAGTTCGAAACGAATTAGCTATTTTATTAATTTAATTAAGTTTCTAAATGTTTATTACATTTGATCAAGTCATATATGATGAAACTTTTTATTAAAAATGTTATTAGTTTCATAAATATGTACTTTTCTTTTTTTAATTTTTTAGATTTTGAAAAAATGTGAAGAATTTGGTCGTAAACTTGTTGATCAGCCGAAAAAAATGAGAACTTTTGATGAATCTTTGAAGTCTAAAAAAACAGTTGCTTCAATGATAGAGAGTAGAAAAGATATAAAACCTAAAGAAGTTAAGAATTCTGGTAATTTCCTAGTTACTGTAGTAGAAACTTTGAAGTAATTCTTCTATATGTACTAAATTTCCTAACCTTTATTTGACTTCCTTTTGTTGCCAACACCTGATTGATTAGAATATAAACAGAGGGAGAAATACAAAATGGCAAAAGTTCCATTATATTGTTCCACAACGCAATAATATATCTAGATTATTAAGTGTATTCTGTACTGCCTAAATATTTCGATGTTAAGTGGATGTCTGGCTCCCGGTGGCTGAGTGGTAGCGCTTCGCGCTCCCATGCTACAGGCCCTGGGTTCGATCCTCGGCCCGGACAAGGTAGACTCAGCCTTTCATCCCTTCAGTGGGTTGTTAAATGAGTACCAAGCATGCTTGTTAACTAAACACTGGGGGTTCCATGCTCGGCTGACCACCTGACCAGAACATCTGCTCCTGCACCCTACAGCCCAAGGTCAAGAAAACTGAGATGGGCACAGTAAGCCTTGGTCCTCTATGGGCTGTCGTGCCACTGAGTTTAAGTGGATGTCTTAGCCATCCATTGATCGTTTCATGGCAGTGGGATACACTACCGTTGCAGTTGGCTTAGAAGCATAGTTTTTAAGTTTTGCTCACAAAAAGACAAACAATGATTATTAAAATTCCCGTATTCACCTCTAAAATGTTTAAAAATGAATTGTGTTAAATTGTATTAATAATAATAAAAAATTAATTTTAACTAAGTACTTATATATGTTTGAATGAATTGAAAGATATATTGGTAAAATTTGTTGTAAATATTGTGGACAAGAGTGACTTTATTTTCACTAAGCTTTCTTGTTTGTTTTGTCTAACTTTTTTATGCAACATATTTTTTTCCCACTAAGAATATCAATTGTTTTAACTAAGTCAGTTTTTGTTGTTCAATAATGAATTTTTTCTTCTTTTTAATATGTATTTTTCCTCTTTGAGTGTGTTGTTTTCTGTTACATTTGTGTAATTTATTTAAAATAAATATAACGCATCTTTCCAAGGTTCAAACCTAAGCAAAAACTTATAAGTGTTTTTATTAGATTAGTTAAATAAAACCATTAATTGGAATAAATTTTGATAACAGTAGAATTTAGACTTATAATAATTTTATTATGGTTGTATTTTGTAAAATTTTTTAGGTGCAAAAAATGATGCTAACAAATTGCCTTTACCAAATAAAATTGAGGAGGAGAATAAAGAAAATGGTGTTGTAGATGAGGCTGAAGCAGTTATGCGTAGGCGTTCAAAATTGCAACAAAAGCAAGTGAAAGGAAAAAAAGTTGAAGCTAAGTATGTATTTTAAAATCTCACCATTGAATTATTAATTTATATGTTATACTTGTTTTACTTAATGTTTTTATCTTTTTTTTTATAGTGTGACGTAAGTTTTTCTTTTTTTTATTATTTTATAAAATGTTTTAATGTGTTTTTACTAATTTTGAAATTGCATATATAGTGAAAGTAAATTATTAATTATTTTTTATGACACATAATTATAAAATAGTGCATATTATTTTTCATTTAAACAAAATATGTATTAACACTATGTTATTAAGATGCTCATAAAATAATTAATTTATATTTATTGTAATAGCCTAATTTTCTGCAAAGAATGAGATAACTCCATTTTTATTCTTTAAAAAACTGAGCACTTTAGGGCAATTGGAAATTTTAAATTGTTAGAAAAAAAAACTGTTGTTATTTATAATGTTATTTCTTTTGAAGTATTTCTCAAAATATGTCAAACATTATAAGGTTCATTTCTAATAGAGAAAAATTTTGAGAAACAAAATGTGAAATAAAATAACTTTTAGGATATTTTAAGATATCCATAACAATTTAATATTTATTTAAAAAAGCAAAAACAATAGCAAAATGCGCATGGAGTGCAATTTTCATGACTGACAGACAATTTTGTTGCCCTGTGGGCAGTGGCGATCATAAATTTTGTCCAATAAATTCTAGATAAGCAAAATGGCTAATTTTCTGTATTATCAATATTTTTCTTCTTTCATGTTATCTTTTGTATGCTCAATGATTTTAAAATTTTTGTAAATTGATAGAGCTATCTTAATATAACATATAAAGTCAAATTAGATTGTAAATTAATGTTTATTGTTTTCCTGAAGCAATGTGTAGACAAGTGTTTTATTTTTCAGTACTATAATTTCCATTTAAATGAAAGTTAGTGATTTATATATTATTCAAATAGTTGAGTACTTAATTAGGTTGAGATATTTTATCCATCTTAGTACTCTGCTTAAGCTTGACTATTCATAAGACTCCATAGTTACTGTTATATTTCTAAAATGGCCGTCAGAAAATATTTTTTATTTACGTAGAATGATTTTCAAGAAACATTTCTGACTAGTCTTGGTTAGTATTAGATCTGAGAGGATTTTTTTTTGGTATTTTTACATGCCTTCTTTTTTACCCATTTTTTTGTATTTTTACATGTCTTTTTTAACCATTCGCAAAATGGGTCTTGGTTTAGATTTCATGGCATCCTCACTTTTCAACTACAATAATCAAGAGTAACAGTAAACAGTGCACATGCATTTTTGATAATTTTTTTAGAATTCTTTTTTTCACTTTTAGTTTTGTTATGCATTAAGTTGGTGAGTTTGTTTTTGAGACATGGGACCAGAGAGATCCCATAAATACTTCTTCAGTTGTGAATAAAAGAGAATTTCATCTTTTGAACGATATTTTTGTTTTTATTGTTTTAATTAAGAATCAGAAATTCTAACCTACAGTTCAGACTGGATTGTTTTCAATACTAATTCAGGTGAAGATCACAAATAAAGATTGTCCAAACTGATTGACACTCTCCCAAAAGTTAGAGTTGAAGCAAGAAAAAAACGATGCCAAGGCCTAAATTTACCGAGGCTGAAAAAGCCAAAAAACGTAGACGAGAATACCTTAAGCGTTACACACAGACAGAAAAACAAAAGATTCCATTCGCAAACGCAAGCATGAAGTCCGTCCCTCGCAAAAGTACCAAACTGGTTGAGAGAATTGAACTCTACCGAAGAGCGAATGGTGACTCTCTGAACCCCTTTCATGCAAATACGAGAACTGTAAGTTGATCACCAGTTAGGGATAAAAGGATCTATTGTCAACATACCCAATAACTTGCACAAAACCGTCGACTGTCTTCCACGCAATATAAATGATTCATCCACTATTCATGAAAAATTGAAAAAAAGCCTAGCTTTCAAATCATATTTCATATATGAACTTGTGAATCTGAAACGGGTGTATGATATAACTTACAATCTCCATCAAACACCATTGTACCTATCTGAAAATGTTAATATTGATCTTGATTGGCTGTTATAATTAATTGTAATAATAATTATTAATTATTTAATTGTTAATTTTTTAAAAAAAATATACCATTTCAAAATTTAAATCCTTTTCTGTTCTTTAACATGAGTTGATACATTTTTGTAGACCCCTTGCATCAGAACTTCTAGGTGGTCACAAATGTGTACCATATTATGGCTACAAGCATCTTTTTGCGTCATCATTTTACATCATCATTTTACAAATTGATTCAACAGTATTCTAAGAAAAACCAAGTGCAGGAAAAGTATAAAATGAAAACAATAAGATTTTATATTATGTTCATATAAATTTAATTTATAAATAAAAATAAAAGAAAAAAATTAATTCTTATATATATATATATATATATATATGTATATATATTAATAAAAAAAATTAACTGAGCATGGTAATCTTTAGAGAGAATGAAAATAAAATACGAAAACTATTTTTTAAAAAAGAAAATACTTTCAATATTTTTAGAGTGATACAAATTATAGTCGGACGTTATATTTCATGAAAATGTTTTCATTTACAAGGTGCAAAAGAATAAACTTACCACCATAATTAGTTTATGATTTAATGATTGGATCTTTGCGTTCGATGACTCAATCTTAATAGTTCAAGGAAGTGACCTCAAATATTCTAACTAATTAGTGCAGATGAGAATTTAAGTAATGAAATCAGACATAAAAACATACTTCTTCTGAATAAACAAACTTTTTGTTTTTTTTTGTTTGAAACACTATGTTTCTTATAATGAACATAGTGTATTATGGCAAACGTTCTGCTTAAACTTGGTCAGAGGTTCCGTGATTGGATTAAAATCATCCAAGAACTAATATACTTTACTCTTTTATTTAATTAAAAAATATCATGAGGAACAAGATAAAAAATTATATATATTTTTTAGAATTTTCAAGAAGTAAACATATTTAAAATTTAAATTTTTTAGATTATATATATATTTTAAATGCACTTATAGTTATTTCTGTTTGAAGGAATGGTAGATAACATGCCAGTATATTACATCTGCATCCCTTTATTCTATGTAACTGTAATAACTATTAGAGCAAATAGATGTATCTGGAGGAGTTAGTGTGATAGTTGGTCATACGTTTCTGGTTCTTAAAATCGACTTAAAGGAAAATAGATTTATATGAATGGAAATTCTTTCTGAAATTATGATCTCAAAATAATAGATTTTTAAAAATTGTTCAAAAAAAAGTTAATGCTACTTCAATTTTTAAAATTAGTAGTTCAAAATTCAGAAAATTTTTGCAACCTGTGTGCAAGATTTAGAAAATTTTAGGAGCTTTTATTTGTGTACTGTGGAGGTCTTATGCAAACTTTGTGAGTGGGAAATTTTAAATATGCATGTATGAGAGAAATTTTGGTACCAGAGGATTTTTTTCCCAGCTGTATATTTACCAAATTAGGGGGTTGACTATTGTCTATCTAATTCTCGTTTGTTTTTTAAATCTTTTCCTATTTAACAAAATTAAATTGTTATTGGTATTTATCATTCATTACTCAAGAAAAATGTATGTATTTGTTTATTGTAGAAAAAGTCCTCTTCCAAAAGACAAATCTAAAAAGCCTAGAGTGTGGGATAATGGTGGATCTTCTAAAGAAGCATCTGTTTTGGATTATAGTAATGAAGATGGTACCATAACTAATGGACATGAACCATCTGAAGAAGCTTTCTGCGATAGAATGGTGAGACTAATTAAATAAACATTTCAAGTTCAGGTTAATTTTTAAATGCCTCTAATGTTTTAATAATTTTTATTAATATGAAACAGGTCTTTATCTTTTATGAGTGTTCAAGTTTTTTTTTACAAACATTTGCTATTTTACTCCTGTGCAATATTGAATTTTCAAAAGTGACAAACCCTGTATGGTATTATTTTGTATTTTAGTGGTAGAAGAGTTACTAAACTAATGGTTTTTTAATTTTAAGGTCTTTTTCAATAGTTTGGTGCCAGAATATTTGACTCAGGTGAACTTTTGTTTACATTGGGGGCATTCCTGTATCTCAGTGGTTCCTGAACTTTTTTGTCTCGTAGACCCCTTGTCACGTTTTTCAGTTTTGGGTAGATCCCCTATTTACCTGATATTGATTTTTTGTAAATTCATCAACTTCAAATGTATTTTTGACAGCTGGTATAATGCTACTGTGAAAGATTTAAACTTCTAACTGTAGTGAAGTGTAGTATGATAAACTTAAGAAAAAGCACATGTTAATTTTATACATTTATTAATTAAATTCAAATTAATTTACCGTGGAAAAATTTTTTTTTGTTACAAAATAAAACCTCACACACAGAGAAAATAATTCAGTTTCATATATCAGAAAATAAACTTAATAACTTAAATTTTAATGAAATTTTTACTTCATAGCTACTTTAATAAATTATGTAGAATTTAGATAAGTATATGTCTTTATATTATAAGGTAGTAAATGTAAGTGAATAGGTACTATCAGTGTATGTTGATTATTCCATTCATGAAATGTCAAAATTAAAGTCACGACCTGCTTATATAAGATCCAGTATCGTTGACCCCCATTTTTGTTTCATGGACCCCCAATTTTTTTCTCACTTGGCATGGACCCTTTACAAGTTGTCATCGACCACTGGGGGTCAATATAGACCACTTTGGGAATCACTACTGTATCTGAATCTGATTGTGCTAACTGTACTGTAGTTGAGGCACAGAAATATTACTGCTCAGTTCTTGTACTTGCTATAAATTAAAAAAAATATCTATTGCTGTTTGTCTGGAGGTGGCTAGGAATGTTATCATTCATGTTTAGTTTTTTTGTGTGACAAGGATACTGCTATCATTATAGCATAGGATCTGATGTAGATTTTTGTCTAGTACTCAATTAATAATATAAGTTATAAAAATTGCAAATTTTCACTTGATTCATATATATCTATTTAAAAAATGACTGCTTGAAATGAGGGAAGTACATACTAGGTTGGTTAATGCTAAAAAAGTGAGTTTAATTTTTTATTTAAATTCCTATTAAGTGAAAGATTTGTTGTTTCCACTAATATAATTATGCATCTAAATTAAAATTCCCGAACTATGTTAAAAAATATATATAAAATATATANAAAAATTAAATAAAATATATATATATATATATATATATATATATATATATTAAAAGGTGATTTATAAATTGTGTTCAAAATATTATCATTTTGATTTTATATATAAGGGATATCATTTTTATATTTCCTGATTTTGTAAGGTCTTCAAACATCAGGATTCATAGCTATTATAAGTTAAATTGTATAAATTTCTTCTTTATTGTTGTCAGATAGATTGCATATCTAACAGTTGATCACTTTGATTTCCGCGGATTGAATCTCTTCATGTTAAAAAGGACAACTGATTGATGAACATTCATATTGTTCAAGATGTTTCAAACCTGTTTTGTAACAATAGTGTTCTTTAAATTCACTGAAGCTTTTACTGTTCAATATTTTGACTCTCAATAGGAAAACTTACGAGCGAAAACTTTTTTTTTACAACTGTTTTTTAGAAATAAAGATAAAATTTAAAGTTTTTAATTCAGACACATTGGAATTAACAGTTTATTCAACTGTTTAAGAAATGTTGAGTTTTTAAATTCATTGAATGCTTTTTTTATAAGAAAAAGAGTCGAAATTGTCTTAACAATAATTGAAACTTATGTAAAATTCTATCACATTGAATTAATATTTTCTGCACCTTAATTCGCTTTAAAAGTTGTGAAAAATGGCTAAAAATGTTTTAAATTTTAAAAATTATAAATTTTGAAAGTCAAGTTGCAAATAATGCTTACAATTTTAAAAAAAATCATAGATTTTGTTAGTCTGTTAGCTGCTAAAAGTTACCCTTTTTAAAAATCGCAAATTAATATTCTCTGAATAAAGCTAAGCATTGTGAATAAAGCATAAAAACATGTGAGAGGAGTTTTTATATAAAATGTTAATGAAAATAAAAAAAGGTAAATGAAAAACCAGCATTTTTATTTCATTTTCTTATGTAATAAAAATAATAATCTTTAAATAATTCTCCTACATTTATCTATTTCTCGTAAGATTAATTGCATGCATTTAAATTAATGATTGTAAAATATAGACCATTTACTAATTTTATGATATTGTTAGTTAACAATGCAGGGAAGAAAGAATTGTCATTAATTTTACATTTGAGGTTTGACTCTTTCCATGGTTTGAATGGTTTGAATATGAATAGTACTAGGGAAGAATAGCTTCTCTAATAGAATTCTTAAGAACACTCAATTCTATAGAACTCTAATGGAATTCTCAATATGATATTTTTTTATTTTTAAAAATGATGTTTTTGGTATATTTGTTTTTCTAAAATTGAATAAGCTATGACAATGACAACATTGATTTATTTAAATGGCCTAGAAGCATCTCTTATTTTGTTTTAGCATGTTTTAATTTCTCATTAAAATGTTAACATTCAAGCACTTTGTAAGTAAGGCATTTTAAATTCTTTTCTTATGTGTATTTTCTAGATATTTTTTGAATGTTTTTAAAATAGTAATATTTTTCAATTTGTTTGAAATACTGCTTCCTTTTATTTTAGTGTGAAGATTTTTTTAATTCTTTTTTTAGGATGTTGGTAAGTACAGAGGACCAGTGAAGCGAGTTGAAACATCTGAGAGTGAATCTGAATCAGAGGAAGAAGGGGAAGAACCAAAGAAAGGGTTTGTATTTTCCTTTTATTCATTAAAATAACTATAGAAATTTGCTGTTATTTTAAAACTACAAATGTAGTTATCTTTTTAATAGCATACTAGTTTCTGTTATAGCTTTCTAATAGATTTATAATTGATAAGTTTTCTTTTATAAATTAATTAATTTACTTTGTTTAATTTTCTGAGAATCTCTTTATATTATTATTTTATCCAAGCTGATATATCCTTAGTGTATCTTGAGATGTAAAAATGCAATTTGAATTCATACAGCACTAATATATATTTTTTTACATTTCTTAAATATAGAGCTACTAAAAGTTATGGAATGTTCAACATGTTTAAAGGATTGGTGGGACAAAAAAATGTTACTCGAGAAGGCATGCAACCCATTTTGGATAAACTGAAAGATCACATGATAGGTAAAAGAAATTCAACTAATTTATGTAACTATTGTATTGTTTATTTTAATGTAAACATTAATTTTAGCTAGCTGATTATTTCATATTATACTCCTAATTGAAGAGAAAAGTGTATGCACATGTTTTGTAATGTAATAAATTTAGAAGATGTGCATTGCACATTTACTTAATATGTACGCAAGATGAATATATTTATGCATAACTTTACAAAACTTACTTCTTTATTGATTCTGAACTGATGAATATTCTACTCTTGTATTTGTATCTAAAGTATTAAAAGAAATGAGGAATTGTTTACCTATTCCTTTATGTGAGATTCTAAAATGAATTTAATCCAGTAAAGAGTATATGATGCTTATCTTCAAAAATGTTTTGTTTCAGCTAAAAACGTTGCTGCTGATATTGCTGATAAATTGTGTGAATCTGTGGCTACTAAACTTGAGGGAAAAGTTTTGGGAACATTTACTGGGATCACTTCAACTGTAAAATCTACTCTTGTGGATGCATTAGTTCAACTACTCTCTCCCAAACGTAGAATTGATATTTTGAGAGATGTTATGGAAGCTCAGAAGGCTCATCGACCCTACAATATTGTGTTTTGTGGTGTAAATGGAGTTGGAAAATCAACCAACTTAGCTAAGGTAAATTGATCACTAATTTTTTTTTTTATTGAAATGGTTTTTAGACAATTTATTGTGATAAAACCTCTTTCCCCAAAATACATCCAGTAGCCACAATTTAGGAAATATGGTCCTTATAGTTTGGTCAGGAGAGTGGTTGAAAGTTTGGACCCTTTGATATTAGTTTTATTTTCTATATGTTTTTCCATGTCTCTAGAATTTTTTATAAGGAATTCAAATCTTTTTTATCGCAATTCAAAATTTCGTTTAACCGCAGATAATGCTATAAAAAAATTATTTTTAAAAATTATTTGCTATTTTTTATTATTTAATGGGTAAAAAATTTTTTAATTAAAATTTTTAAATAATTTTAAAAAACGAAATTTTATATCGTAAAACGCAAAATTTAAAAAGAATGAAATAGTTCTTAAGAAATAAAATTTTAAAAAGTATTTTTCCCTATAAAATTAAATTTTTAGAAATGATGTAAAAATTTTTTATACCTTGCAATTCAAATTTTTTTAAAAATATTTTTGAAATAAAATAATAAATATGTAAAAATTATTTTTTGCAAAATGTAAAATTTGGAATTATCTTTGAATGCAGGAATTTTTTAAATGCTAGCAAAAAATTTTAAATCCTTAAAAAAGTTCTCGAGATAAGACTAAACACGTAGAAAGTAAAATTAACATTAAGAGGTTCTAATTTTCGTCATCACTCCTGAGCAAACTATTGGAACAATATTTCCCAGATTGCAGCTAATTCCCATGTTTTGGGGGCAAGGAATCCAAGTCAGTCGAATGAAAGTTTATTTGGTGAAAGTGCGTTTTTGTCTGATTTCGTAACTTAAAATATAGTCTGTACTAACTTATTAGCATATTTGGGATCACCCCTTTGAACCATTACAATTGAGTCCTAGTCTGTAAAAATTCTATCATTAGGATAAAAAATTATTCAGAGTAACTCATTTTTTTGTGTATGGTGAATTTTTATATTTAATTTACTATTTTTCCTATCTGTGATTAGATAGCATTTTGGTTGATTGAAAATGATCTACGTGTCCTTATTGCTGCCTGTGATACTTTTCGAGCGGGTGCCGTGGAACAGTTGCGCACTCACACTCGCCACCTTAATGCTCTTCACCCCCCTGAAGCTCACAATGGTCTGCAGATGGTGCAGCTCTATGAAAAAGGATATGGAAAAGATGCAGCTGGAATTGCTATGGAAGCCATAAATTTTGGTAAGTCACATCTTCTTTCTTTTATTTACTTATTTTGAAAGTGTCAATTTGTTGTTATCATGGCTAACTAAGAATAATGTATCAGGATTAACATAAAGCAGTTTCTTATTGCAAGCTTTAGAAAGTTTTTATGTAATTAATATAAGGTGTCTTTCCAAGCAGAAATTTTTTATGTAACTTAATTACCATGTGTGCTTTTTTGCTGTTTTATTTTTGGACAAGTTTAATTTAATTTTTTTTTCTTTAAATTGAATATTCATGTTTTCTGTTGGGATAATGTGACCTGTTTCAGTATAATAATGTGATTATTATGAGACTTTTGAATGTTGACCACTATTTTTTTACTGAGGTAGTTCAATATTACAAGTTATAGTAATAAATATAGTAAAAATTCTCATGAGCAACTACTCTCCAGAATGCGAAAAAAAAAGGCCATTAAGGGATGTTATTAATCCAAAAATCGCCAACATTGAATTATCAAAAAAATTTACGAAGAAACTAGTTACATTTAGTATTCATAGTTTGTTACATTTGTATTAAATATTAATATATTATTTTATCGCCGGCAACTTTCAGTTACATTTGGCGAATCGTGGGAATGGGTTCTAATTTTTTAGTACTTGAGTTATGTTGACTTTTACGACCTGTTGAATTTTGAAGTAAATGAAGCTTTTACATTATCATGTGTAAATAGAGGAGCTGTACTATATATATATATTTTCAAATTCAAACATTATTTAAACCTGGAATGCAATAGCATTTCTGTCAGGCATTCTTCCATAGATGTATAGAAATATGTTTATGCTGGAGGATCAAGGCACGAAAAGTTTCTTTCAGAGGCTATAAGTCAGCCCCTTATGGAGGGTTGTTTTTTCTCTCCTAGAAAACTTTGTATCGTAAGGTTGAACATTAGGTAAAGAATTGGTGCTGTAAAAAAGTGGTTGTTGAAAGTGAAGATTGTTCTGTTAAGTTTTTCGGCATAAGCAAGATTCCATTTTTACCACTTCTCTATATTAACTGTACAATATTTTGCTACAATAAAAAACTTATCGAAGAAAAGATGTATTATAAAAAACCTTATTTATGTTTTTTGTATGTAAGTTTGGAGCTAATACATACAGTTCAAAGTCCCATATCTGTAATTGATAAAAAAAAATTTTTTTTAAAAAGTTTTTTTTTAGGTAAAGGTAGCTTATATGAAAATAACCAAAAATATGCAGATCTTAATTGTGTATTTTTTGTCGCTTACGCCGATTTTTCTATTGCTCGGCAGTGTTGTTAGCAGTATTGTCAACTGACTTTATACTTTTGTTACTCTCCTAGCTCGAGATTTGAAAATCGATGTTGTTCTCATTGATACTGCTGGCAGAATGCAAGATAATGAGCCTTTAATGAGGGCATTAGCCAAGGTAAGTAATGAATACTATTAATTAGTTGAACTTCTTGTTTCTAAAGCAAAATAAATGCAGTGTAAATGTTTTTTTTTCTCCAACTTATGTGCTGCCTTTCATTTACCAATGTAATCACCATTAATTAATAAAAAAATATAGAAGCTATGAAAATTTTATGAAAGAATAAAAAACTTTCATTACTTTTGAAGTTGCGTTAAAACTGCCAACTAGATTTGAAACTATGAGTTTCATAAATTTTTTAGTCTTTCATTACAAGATTTTTACAAGATTTAAAGAATATTTTAACATTAATTTGTTTGTGTAAATGATAAAATTTTTAAAAAATTAATTACAACATTTTCAAAGTAGTTTGTATTATCTGAACTAAATTATCATGTTTTTTAATTCATACTAAACAATTTTGAAATATATGTGTATTAAAAATGAGCAAATTTTAAGTGAATAGAAAAGAGATTAAAAGTAACTCATATTGATGACGTGAACACTATCTAAATTATAATGTAAATTCTTACATGTTTATAGTTTTGTAAACAGCACTTAAACATGAATTTTAGTAGTGTGTTCCCGGTTCTACTTTTTAAACAATCATAACGTTTACTGCATAAGCTCTATCCTTTGAAACATCGTCAAAATTATTAAATGTAAACTTCTGTTGCTGAAAGAATTATTTCAATATTCCTTCAATTTCTATTACAAGTAATATATATAGTCAAACCTTGATATCACAAACTTGAAGAGAGGCACATAAAGTTATGAAATATCAACTATTCAAATATAGAAACATCAATTTTTAGTATTTTAAACCAAATATAATATGTTTGTGCTTAAAAAAATATTATCCTGTTTTGTCATTCTCTTTATATAAGTATCCAGGGTTCGTAGCGTTTTTAAAAAGTGCTTATTTTCGATTTTCGCTTTTTAAAGGCCCTTAAAGGTGGTTTTTTCATTGGGTGTTTTTAAAAAGTGCTTAATTTTCCTTTTTCCAAAATAAGATTTTTTTCTTTACCATATCGATTTTTGCACGTGTTATGCAAAAGCGAGATTTTCTCATTGTTCTTTTTAGCGTTTTCACAATTCATTCAATCACAATCTAATTCGGCAAACCGTTGTTCCATAGCATATGAAAGCGCCAATCATTTTACAGGTCTGATAAAGTGTGAGTCCGCATGTGTGTCTATTGAGCTGGGTTCGGTGAGGTTATTGCATTCTTATGTGCAACTCTCCTGCATTTTGCGAGATATTTTCCGTTTCAGGCTTCACTTTCCACCCTCTGATATCGAACCGAAAAATCTCTCGATCATTTTATAATGGCTAATGTAATCAGGAAAAGGAGTTCTTTGTCAGAAACTAGTTATTTTATCATGATCATGAAAAGTCTTTGAAAATTATTTTGCATTTTGTTGATGTCTATAGTGCTTAAAAATATTTTTTGAGTGCTTAAAAAGTACTTAAAAGGTGCTTATTTTTTGTTGAAAGATTGGGCTGCTCACCCTGGTATCAGTTTTTGTTTTTTAAATCTATTGAATTAGCAAATTCTTTTCAATCCTATCTGCAGATCTTTTTACTTACTTACACCTCTTCACTCTATAGCGAGTATAAGGCCTTTGTCAGGACTCTCTGTCTCATCTTGTTCGTAGCCAAGCACTTAATCGCTCCATATGTTTTGTTTATTGTTTTATTCATTCATAACAGTTTTGTGCCATGTCATTTTAGGTATAGCTGTTTTACATATACCCTGGGGTGGTGTCCAGTCCAGTGCTTGTCTTATTTTGAATCTTTTGGTTTTCTGATAGTGTGTCTTTGTCTATTGCCACTTGTGTTCTCTGATTTCTTATTCTATTGTTTTTTCTTCTTCTAATTTTGAATAATTCATTGTTAGGTATTTATAGATCTTATCTACACACTGTCCTACGCCTCAGGTTTTAAGAAGTGGATGATTCAAGCGATTCTTTTTAAACAGGGCAATTTCTTTCTTGTTATAGCTTCAAGAATTAGTTCATTAAATTATTAACGAAATGCGTTTTAATTGTAAGAATTCATGTATAAGAAAGCATTTTAAAATCTTCAGAAATTAGGAAAAAAATAAGTTGGTTAGTAGAAAATATTTCCCAAAATCAAGAGAAATTTGTTCATCCGCAAAAGATTTTTTTGCTATTATCAGGTTAGCAAAAGTGTAGGGAATTACGTTTTTATCATATCGTCAAAGTAATATTCATATCGTCAAAGTTTGACTGTATTTATTTACTATCATTGTAGTATAATTGTAGTCATTGTACAAAAAATGCGTTATAAGTTCATTTTCCTTTATTCAAAATTTCATTAGGAACTAATCTAAAAATTTTCACTAATTTCTGCATTTTCATCTAATTACTATCAGAGGTCTGTTTAGAAGAAATTTGGATCCGTTAACGGACCCTTCACGAAATATCTTTTCATAAAAACGGACCCTTCACAAAATATTTTATCTTAAAAACGGACCCTTCACAAAATATTTTAACTTAAAAACGGACCCTTCACAAAATGATTTTTCTTTTAATCGGACCCTTCACAAATTTGTTTATCTTCATTATTATTTTGTTAATCGAATAAACCCTTTCCAGGGCAGAAAACAAGAAAGATGGATGTAAACGAATTAAGTTTTGTCTTCGGCAGACGATTCTTCCATTATTCGTCCAAAATGAATATTCCGCATTCAGCAGTATAGGTTAAATACCAAATATTTGTATGTTGCATCTCTAATTTAGAAGCAGCAATTGCTGTTTATTTTTGAAAATTTAATTTTTTTAATTATAATTTTACAGTGCTGCTCATAATCTTGTGTCTATTTACAATTTAAAAACTCCTTGCAGTAACCAGATCCTATTTGCACAAATTTATAAAAGCAGACCCTTATTGAAAGAATGTGAGTAATTTTTTCACAAAAACCGGACCTTTCACAAAATGTCTGGACAGACCCCTGACAATTATTTTTATCAATTAGAAGGTTAGGTGATGTGCTTATTGTTATATTTTTAATTTATTCTTTACTTACTTATTCCTAATTGTGTTACTAATTATTGTAATTTTTTAGTTGATCAAAGTAAATTCTCCTGATCTGGTTGCATTTGTGGGTGAAGCTCTAGTGGGAAATGAAGCTGTCGATCAGCTGGTGAAATTCAACAGGGCCCTTGCTGATCATTCTAGCCGTGACAATCCTCAACTTATCGATGGCATTGTACTCACTAAGTTTGACACCATTGATGATAAGGTAAGATCCTCTGATAACTAACTTATGTAAAGTTTTTTTATTTTTTATTCTGTATTAAAAGCCTAAATTTTAATTAGTTTACCACGTTTATGTTAACTTGCCTTCGGGTATGTCTGTTCGGGTGGAATTTTGTGATCGATTTTAAACTAACTTCCCGACTAGCTACAGACTTCAAATTTGGCACATAGTTCAGAATTGGATGACAATGCATGAAGAGAAAGAAGACATACAAAGTAAAATAAAATTAAAATTAAGGAAAAATTAGTATTTTCGCGATTGTCTTTTGTTGTCGATTCGATTATTTCAAATTAGTGTCACATGTCAGTTGAAAAGTTTTGTGTACAGTTAGTGAAAAAATTGAGATTTTGGAAGTGAGTACAAAAAGAAAATCAAAATAAAAAATACTATTTTTAAAAACCACGTTTTTGTAGTGGAGAATAATAATTAAAAAGTAAAAATTTGAAAGACGAAAAACGTGGGGCGCATGAAATACACAACAGTACATATACACATTTTCTTACTTATACACATGCACAGCCACATGCACATGCATATACACAAACATATTCCACATACACATCCGCATTCAGATACAATTACAATTACAGATATACGTACACATATTCTCATGAGCACACATACATACACTGATATAACATTACTGTAATAAATTTCATGTGCCCCACGTTTTTCGTTTTTCAAATTTTTATTTTTAAATTATTATTCTCCACTACAAAAACGTGGTTTTTAAAAATAGTATTTTTGATTTTGATTTTTTTTTAGATTCAACTGAATATTTATGAAATCACACATTTTTAAAAATATTACTTTAAGATAGAAAGCAAAATTATTAAATAGCTGCCAATATAATAAATATAAAGTAAATTTTTTTGTTCTTTATTTGCATTTATTGACTAATATAAGTTCTCTAGATATTTTCATTTGATCATGCCAACTGAAAAATGTTTTCAGAAAGAAGTTAAAGTTGATATAAAAAATGTAACTCCCATACCCCCTTTCAATGCCAAATATCTGACTTTCCTCTTTAAAGTGATAACAATATGATTAAATTTTTTTTTTGGAATTAAAAAAAGTTTGAATTTCTTATCTACTTCATTTATAAAATCTGTGTATACAATCTTTATAATTTTTTGACTTCATTTTCATCAAATTATTTAAAAAAATGTTTATTGATAATTTTAATTTATCAATTCTAAATTCTAAAAATCATTTAATCTATAATATGTATTCTAAAAATTATTTGATTTATAATATAAGTAACTCAAAATATGTATGGTAATTAATGCATTTCAATTTTATATTGCTTTAAAACTCGATGCCGGTGGCTGAGTGGTGGTGCTTCATGCTCCCATGCCAAAGGTCCTGGGTTTGATCCTTGGGCCAGGCAAGGTTGACTCAGNATGGAAGCCACGACTGGCTCAAACAAGAGTTCAAGAGAAAACTGAGCAGTTCACAACAATTGCTACAGATGGCGCTTCGCCTAAGACCGAACACCAAGCATGCTTGGGAACTAAGGACTGGGGGTTCCGCGTTTGGCCAACCACCTGACCGGAACATCTGCTCCTGCACCCCAGAGCCCAAGGTCAAGAAAACTGAGATGTAGGTCTTGGGCCCTCTTTGGGCTGTCGTGCCACTGAGTTACTCAACTTAAAACTCAAGGATTTATTTTATCTTTCATTGAGTATAACATCTTGGCATATATTTTTCTTGATATGTATTTATTATTATATATATTGTTGTTTTAGGTGGGAGCTGCTATATCAATGACCTACATTACTGGTCAGCCCATTATATTTGTTGGAACTGGACAGACTTATACAGACCTCAAAAGCCTTAATCCTAAAGCTGTTGTTCACGCCCTCATGAAATAAATACTTTTTATTAGGATTTCAAAGTTTTAAACTCTGCATGCTTTGTAGCTTATTATGTGGAACTCATGAATCAACAAAACATATTATCACACAATCCTATTTGTAGGTATAGTGCCTCCATTATATTTTCTAAATACTATGATCTGCATGACGTGAATTAAATGAATCTGTTATTGAGAGAGCTTTATTGTTAATGACCCAAGAATAAATAATCGCAATTACTGTAAAAGATTTTTTTTTTATATCTAAATATGCTTTTTTTTTTTTTGATATTGTGAATGTTTTTTTTTTACATCTGATAAAAAATCTTTATCCAGAAATTATGATTTTCAGATAGTGTCAATATATTTATCGCTGTGCACAGTTTTAAATACTAGATAATAAAAACATTTGTCTAAAAGTTAGGTTTTTTTTGGATAGCGTGAACATGATTTTTCTGAAGTTTTGTTATCAATCGCATATGATTGAAAAATTTAAAAAAAATTCTCACATTTAAAAAAAATTTCTCAGGGATAAAAACAAATAATAAATAAGTAATGCAAATTAAGATTAATGGGGCCTTTTTTTTAAACTTAAAAAGGAAGAATCTTGTTTTCAATATGAGGAGTATTTTAAAATTCTTTTTAAAAAATAGCCACAAAATGTTCATAAAATAGAATTCTTTTGATAACAACTGCCAAATGAAAGGATTTCTAAAAGCATAATTAAGTAAGTATTACAAAAATAGGTTCCAAAAACTACAATATAAACAAATGTGTAATGTTATTTAAAAAAAAAAGGCTTTGAAAACTGCAGTATGGCACTTAATATGATAAAAAAAAAGATTTTTTAGACTGCAATATGGTAATTAATATGATAAAAAAGGTTTTGTAAACTGCAATATGGCACATAATATGATAAAAAGATTTTGTAAATTATAATGAGGCGTATAATATTAGAAAAAAAATTCAATGTTACACCCTTTACGTAAGAGTCATCAATATTTATGCCTTAATATATTTATTTTACCCACATATTTATTAACTTTTTGTTTTTATCTTGTTGCACTTATATGTAGAATTGAATGATACATAATCACAGATGTTTATAAAATTTTTATGGCTGACATTACAAGAAAAGGAATACATTTTTCCTATCTTCCAACAATCTTTGAAATTTTCTGATGTCATTTTTATAAAGTTACGAAAAAAATATTTATAGATGATCTTAATTTATCAATAACTTATTCTAAAAAGCATTTTATCTATAATTGTGTAAGGCTAAAAATATGTATGGTTGTTAATGCATTCCAATTTTATATTTTGTTTTTAAAACTAAAGAATGTGCTTTATCTTATCATTTATTAAGTATAAAATATGTATAAATCTTTATAAAATAAAAAGATATTTATTGTTTTTTGGAAAGTTATATATTTTGGGGACTTAAATAAAAGCTACTTATATAATTTTTAGTCTTTTATTCCCACTTCAAATTCAAGGATCATATTAACCCTTGAATTCAATAATGCTTAATCTTATATCATAAAGTTATAATAAAAATCAAATCAACTCCAAAAATCTCTTGTCCCCAGAAGTAAGGAAGAGAATAACTGTGGCTAACAGATGCTTTTATAATCTAAGAAAATTTCTGAATTCTGACAACATTAAACAGAACACTAAATTGCTGATATATAAAAGTTTAATCCGGACAGTTCTCACGTTTTTATCTGGAACGTGAACTACGTCCCAAGCTGATTAGAGAACTCTCCCAATTTTTGAGAGGAAGATTCTCTGATCCATTTTTGGTGGCTTTTGCGATAACAGAGTTTGGAAAAGGAGAATCAACTCTGAACTTCTCGGGTTATTCAGGGAACTGGACATTCTGAAGTATCATAAGATCCAATGTATGAAATGGGCCGCACACATTTTAAGAATGAATGATGATCAAACGACGAATAAAGCTTTCTAGCTAAGCTAATAGGGGCTAGAAGAAAAGGAAGACCCATATTGAGGTGGGGGGACTGCCTCTAGAGTGTCTTGTCTCAATTAACGTCAGAGACTGGGTGGCAGTGGTGTGCAAAAGGTCTCATCTTCTTGAGATTGCCAGATTTCATCCAGGACTGTTGAGCTATTGATGATTATAATAAAAATCTCTATCAAAAAGATGGTGGCAATCTTGCAATAATATTAATTGTTATTTTTTTCCTAATCTTCTTTTTTATTATCTGATTAACACGTTTATTAAAGTTCTATAATTTTGAGGCATGAAGAAGTGTTTAAATACTGAAAAAATAATTGATAAAATATTAAAACTAAGATTATATTATTAACAAAAATTTGAAGTAAAAGGAATCACTTCAAATACATGTTTTACAACTCTGAAACACTGTAAGTCTTTCATCTTATTTTGTTTGATTTTAATTTTATTGTTGCTCCACACTTAGTTTATAACACTGTTTGATTTGGTTACACATTCATTTATTTAGTAATGTTTAGGTTTTACACAAAATAGTTTCGTCCTACTCATATGCTAGATTTTTAAAAGTATCCACCTTAACCCTTTTCTTATGAGCCTCATCTTTAGCTGGGGTCCACTTGATGCCCTGTTTATACGAGTGTTGTAATTAGGCGATGTCAGCGTTAAACCGTCTGGAAACCACTCCGATTTGCCTCAATCTAGGTATCATTGATTATTATTCCATTAACCTTTAATCCTATTATCCATTTACCTACAACAGATTAATACCACCAAAAATATATTTTGCTTGAGATTAATAAGGTTTCTAAGTTGAAACAAGTTTCATTTGTGTGCTGCAGTGAAGTATTTTCTAACTACAAAAGTAAAATATAATAAGAAATCTTAACATGCAATGTGCACACTTCACGTTGTGGTGCCATTTTAGTGGAGTGGACTACAGTAACGAAAGGGGCAAGCTGAGAAAACAAAAAATTTTCAACAAAAATTTGTTAAATAGAAAATTTATTTAGCTGCTTTATGTGTCTTTTAAAAGATCTTTGAAGAATTTTGGAGACTCCTCTTCAGTTGAGGAAACTGAATTTCTTTTCCTGAAATGTTAATAAAAACGATTTCATATTTAAATTAAAACAAATCGATTAAAAATCTGTGATTATTGTACAATATAATATGCTATACATGCTGGGAAAAAAAGTTATACTTTTAATAACTTATGATTCTACAGTGGACTGATAGTAAAGACACGGTTCCCAATAGAACATCGAAGTCGAGCATCATTGGCTGTGTCAGTAAGCAAATGGGTGACCACTTTGATTAACCTGTGAAGTGACCAAGGGTATTGGTCTTTGTTAAACTGCTCTACCGTAAAGTGTTTGACTTTGGGCATCGGGCTACCAAAGCAGGGGAACCACCCTCCCTGCAGAGAATCAATATTGCGATGGCATGTCTTCGGATCATCCTCAGGGATGTTTCCTTGACTGTCGGTAATAACCCATTTCTCGCCATAGCTCTAGTGTGACGTAAATAAAGTACCTACCTACCTTAATAACTTATGACCTGACATGCAGGCTTTACATACTGGTATGTAATTACCATGATGTGACCTTACATGAGACCATTGTTTACATAAGACCCAAAATCATCCACTGGATGTGTACTAGTCATCATTGGACATCTAGTAGACACCATACCATGATCATGCTCAGTGCTTATGGGCGTCCATTATTTTGCTGTACAATAACCATAGATGACCAAAAATTTAAAAGTATAATTTAGCTTCAGTTAATTTGAAGTAATTATGGTATTTGAAGTAATAATTATATATAACTGTTTTGATGTTATTCTCATGTCCAAATCAGACATATTTTCTGTATTTAGAGTTTGATATAGATATTATATTTTTTGCAACTAAGCAGTTCTACGTCCACCAATGCTTTTACTACCCAGTTTTATGTATTCCAGCTCAAATACCCTTTTCTTTTTGAGATCTAAAATAGTTTTTGCATTACAAGAATTGCGAATGTATTTATGCAAAGCTAAAAAATTTCAATAAGTTGTTTTTTTAAAAGTTTCAAATCTTTATAAACAATTAGTGAATTTTCTCTGCTTTTCACCAATAGCTGCACTTGTGCTGGGGATTGATTCCTCGTACTAAAGAGATTAATTTTCGACTATCGCACTTGTGCTGGGGATTGATTCCTCGTACTAAAGAGATTAATTTTCGACTATCGCACTTGTGCTGGGGATTGATTCCTCGTACTAAAGACATTAATTTTCGACTATCGCACTTGTGCTGGGGATTGATTCCTCGTACTAAAGAGATTAATTTTCGACTACCACACTTGAGCCGGGGATTGATTCCTCGTTCTAAAAGCTGAGTGTTGCGTTGGACCTGCCCATCGTGACTTCGAAAACCACTTTTAAAGAGATTTTGCACTTGACATACTATCTCGCATATTCTTCTACGCAAGCTCTGCAGAGAACCGAGGGTTTCTGATAACTGCGCTGCGCAAAACTTACGCAGGTAAGCGTGCGGAATTATGCGTGCAAAATCTCTCAAACGTAATAATACCACAATTTCAGAGCAGGAAAAGTCTACGGTTGATTGTGGAGGTAGTTACAAAGGCCGTGGTATGAATACCTACATCTATCGTTTGGTCTCAATTAAGAACGAATCCCAACCTGTCACCAAAAGTCCATTAGTGTAACCCTAGTGCTACGTTAACAAACAAACCGAGCTCTCTATACATTTTAAGGGGCATCCGTGAATTAGAGATGCTTTTAAAGGTTTTTTGCTCACACTTACCCAGTGCACGAAAAATATCTTTGATCTTTTCCAAATGTCTCTGCATCGTTGATCGTCTGTGGGAGAATTTCATTGAGGGTTTCAGGTAAAAATGTTGCGCTTATGGATGCTAAAATGCACACCAGTCCGAAAATAAGAAAAGGGATGTATTTATCAATGAATGCCTGAAAAAAGAAAATACGGAACTAAATGTAACTAAACAAGAAGAGAACATTAATTGAATAATTAGAACAATAGTTTGGTATGATTTTTTAATGTCATAAAAATAAAATGCGGTTATTGCGTTAAGTGAACGAACATTTTAAAAGATTTTAAGAACGAACAATAGTCCAAGTGGTCAAGAAATTCTTTGGAACTGTGGCTGAAAAGATGGACAGTTCGAAACTCATGAGTGAAGTTACTTAAATTTTAGAGTTTACAGTTGAACAACACACTATTTGGTTAATTAAAGAACTTTCTTCGCGAGTTGTCTAGAGCACTGTTGATAACTATGGTTACGACGTCAAAACATTTCAAAAAGGGGTGAGGGGTTAACTTTATGGGCTAGCTTTGACTCGCGTTCTCCACTTCTTAAAATGCGCTTTTTCTTATAACAGGAGATAGCCCCAGATTCTGTCGCGGAAGATTTCTTGTTACATGCACAGTGCACACTTCTTCTGAAGATCTGCTCTAAATTCACTTTGTTTCCTCTCCTATCTCTAAATATATAGAGAAACAGCATATTGCTGACAAAAATGAAATACTTTCTGCTATTCGACTGTTTTGACCTAAAAATAAGCATCTTTATACTGAATTTATAATGGTGAATAGTACTATTATATCTTTGTAAAATGATAGCAAAAAATGGAGCTTTCCAAAAACTTTAGGACAATCCTTTTTTTTTAAAATTAAAATTGGTGACTTAGTTCCATCAAGCAAAAATGATAATTGCGCCTAAAAATGTGGAAAGTGATGATCATTAAAGAGCTAAAGTCGATTATAATTAAGCTCAGCGGCACGACAGCCCTTGAGGGCCAAGGCCTACTGTGCCCATCTCAGTTTTCTTGACCTTGGTCTCTGGGGTGCAGGAGCAGATGTTCCGGTCAGGTGGTCAGCCGAACGCGGAACCCTCAGTGTTTAGTTCCCAAGCATGCTTGGTACTCATTTATCGACCCACTGAAGGGATGAAAGGCTGAGTCAACCTTGCCCGGCCCGAGGATCGAACCAGGGACCTGTGGCACGACAGCGCGAAGCGCTACCGCTCAGCCACCGGGCGTCTCAAAGTCGATTATAAGATATTAAAATTAGCAACACTTGCTAACTTTTATTTTTTTAGTTCAATATTGAAAGTGAGAGAAGAGAATATTTTCGTTTTAATAACTTGTTATTAACATTAGAAAACTGGACTTCACAGATTTTTCGAGACAGTAAAAACATCTGTTTGCATTTGTGATTCATTTTATGTATTAATGAGGTTAGATCATTGTTGCTGTTAAATTCTGATTCTAAATTAGCGAAACTATCTACCTTTTCAAACTTGTAATCACCAATTTCCAGATGACGGATTTGAAGATCTGAATTAAAACATGGCGTATATTAGTTTTTTTTCTCCACTTACCGGTTAGTTAATTTCTTTTGCATTTTGTTCTAACAACATAAAGCCTGTTTAAGAGTTTGAGTGATGCGTGAGTCACTGAAGCAATATCATCTGCATAAAAAAGTATCTGCACAGAATAAGTAGAAATGTTTCCATTGGTGTTTATTTTAGAGTCTCTTATAACCATTTCTAGAGTTATATTAAACATGAGACAGGCCAGTGCATTTCTTTGATGAACGCCGTTTTTTTTATAACTAGCTTTTCAGTTAAATCACCCTGTAAGCCAATTTGAATCTTTGTTTCTTTAAGGTTTAAGGTCTCAGGAGAAAAAACTCTTCTGGTATGTCTAGTTCACGCATAGCACCCGAAAGGAAATCCCTGTTAATGCAGTCATAAGCTATACTAAATTTATAAAAAGATTATGGGTTTTAAGGCCGATCTCTCTGCATTTTTCCAAAAAGTTGCCAAAAGCTGAATGTTTGTTTAGTTGTTGGTATTTCCTTTCTAAAAAGCTGCACTGATAGTCACCAATCACATTACAAACAAATGGTGACAGCTTATCAAATTGAATTAAAAAAGAGTTCTATATAGGAGGAGCACAGCAGACTGATTCCTCTATAGTTACAACAGTCAAGCACATCTCCTATCTTTTGTATCATACTTATGATACCTATCTTCCATTCCTCAGCAAGCATTTCACTGTTTCATATGTTTGAATTAGATCAGTCAATAACAATATGCAGTTATACCCTACAATTTAAAGAAATTCAAATGGGATGTTGCCAGGCCCAGGCGATTTATTGTTCTTTAGTTTTTCAAATGTATTTTCTATTTCAGACAATCAAGGTGGCTTAATAAAGTGGGGGCATCTATGTTGCCATTGTTTTTTCTATATTAATGTTTGTGCCGTCTATATACTATACCATAAGCCTAGTCGTGTCATTATCTTATCTCTTTGAGTCATGTCAGATCCGATGAATCAGTGAGAGCCCATTAGAGTTAGTACTAAGTAACCAGAGCAAATCTAAGTCGTTGGTATTATTAAACTCCGGCAAAATATAATAATATCTTAACCTATAATTAATTTTTCACTTTAAATTTTACTACTATTTCGGAAAATCAATTTTAGGCAGGTATGAACTCCCCTGAAAGCTTTTCGCTACATTTTACGACCCTCTATATAGTGTTCTTGAACTTGCACATTACAACAAAAAAATAGGCTTAAAAAAACTGTAGCTTGGAGAGAGAAACCTATTGCAAATTTAAAATCAGCAATCTTTTTGCTACATTTTACGACCCTCGGTTATATATATATTGTTTTTAAACTTGCACATTTCGTCAAAAAATAGACTAAACAAAAACTGTAGCTTGGAGAGAGAAACCTATTGCAGATTTAAAGTCAGCAATCTTATCGCAAAATTTTACGACCCTCAGTTATATATATGATGTTTTTAAACTTGCACATTACGACAAAAAAATAGTCTAACAAAAAACTGTAGCTTGGAGAGAGAAACCTAATGCAGATTTAAAATCAGCAATCTTTTTGCTACATTTTACGACCCTCGGTTATATATAATGTTTTTAAACTTGCACATTTCATCAAAAAACAGACTAAAAAAAAACTAGCTTGGAGAGAGAAACCGATTGCAGCTTTGAAATTAGCGATATGACAGTGTCTGTTACAAAATTTCATGCAACAGAAAAAAACTTGTTTCCTTTGTTTAACTAATTTTGAAAGATTTTCAAAATTGTAAATAGGCTTGTGTTCTTAATAATACACATCGTAAAAAAAAGGACTAGTATACTATTTTAAAACTGTTTCTTGTCGAAAAATTAGATAAAAATTAATCAAATATTTTGTTTTTATGTGAGACTGAAACTCAATAGCCTTTAGACCCATAGTTACGTCTTTAAAGGTTGTTTCATTATTACACATTAAATTTGAAATAGCGCGTCAAAAAATGAAAGACAGGGTTTTATTATTGCTTTATATCTTACCAAAAACACAATATAAGGCACTATGATGTTTGCAACACCTGCAAAAGTTCCACTCATTCCCATGCCTATAGCTCGAATTGTTGTTGGATACAGCTCTGAGCATTGCTGGTAGACTGCCATGAACGCTGCTGACGCACCAAACTTACCGATTAATGAGCAAGCCACTGCCAAAGACGGTACACCTGTTTAAGAGATTTAACGAAAAATTAATTAACTATGTTAAATTATCCAATTAATGATTAGGGTTCTTCAAACAGCATCGTTTCTTTTTTTTGTCTGATGGTCATCATGTTTTGCTTAAAAATCTTCCTCTGTTGTTAACATTCGAACAACTAGATGCCTACAAGCGACGTCACGAATGTGTAAATCGTAGGAGCATTTGTTTATGCCACGATTCAGTAGCCAATTAGGTACGACACACGCGTGACGTCATTTGCTGGTATCCAATTAAATCTGATTCGAAAATTTATTTAGCGTGATAATAAAACAAGCTTAATAGCTGTAACGTTAACACGGTAAGAACAACCATGTGATAAGGCAGTGTTCTTCTCGAGTTGTAAGTACCCAATTAGGACATTTTAGTCATTAAGTGCATCCTTGAGTTCCTATAACTGAACTCAGTTTAAAAGTTAAAGAGTTCTGACTTGTGGGTAATATTTTGAATAAGATTCGTTGAGAGACAAGTTTACCGAAAAAAAGGAAACGAAATTTCCACTAGGATGTAACATGAAGTACACCAACGAGGTATTTTTATCGGGCTCAATCTCAGAGTTGTAAGTATGTATTTTTTCTTCTTAACTTTAATATTTATCTTAATTATTCAAAATATTTGATCATGTGAAAAAGCTAGTGCGAAATAACCATATATTTTTGGAAACTGGGATTGTTATATTTCATATTTGGTATTTGAATCAAGTTAAGCTATTATATGGGAAAGAAAAACTGTTAATTTTCTTATAAAACATTAGTTTTCTTACAGAAAAGTCATTTCTAGTAGAAGATTTTGCAACCAAATTAAAAATAAAGTTATATTTTTATAATTTAAAAAACAGAATCAGCTAATCAATTAACTCAACTTTGGCGAAGTTGCTTTAAGCATATATATGGCAGAGATGCCTATTCTCCGGATTCCACAAAATATTTTTAGAAACTGAAGAGAACTACAATCTAAAATTTGTAAATTTTTGGTTAGCGTTGCTAATTTTATAAAAGGGTCATCTCGACTTATCTGCTTTTATTTATCGGTAAAACACACATTTGCAGGCTTGTGTGCTCAATTAAGACTTATAAACCTTTGTCATATTAAAGGTCAGCGCGAGGATACATCCAGGGTAACATCGGGATTTGAACCCGCTACCACCACGCTTTGCACAGCGTTTGGTGGGCAATAACGCTGGGCCAGGGAAGCCACACTTAACTGTGGCAAAGTGGTGTTTTACATAAACCTTTGGTCCCGCAGTGGACTGATCGTTCAGACACGGTTCCCAGCAGATCACCGAAGTCAAGCATCACTGGCTGCGGTCAGTGTGTGGGTGGGTGACCACTTGGATCAGTCTGCGCAGGGACCGAGGGTGTGCGGTATTGGTCCTCGTTAAACTGCTCTACCGTAAAATGCTCGACTTCGCGTGCAGGTCGTCGGGCTACCGAAGCGGGGGTGCCATCCCCTCTGCAGAGGATCAAAATTGTGATGGCATGTCTTTGGATCATCCTCAGGGATGTTTCCTAGACCGTCGCCAATAGCCCATTGTGCAGCTCCAGTGCGTCGTAAATAATGCACCTACCTACCTACATAAACCTTTGAATTATTTGAAAGAAATAGCGAGTAAAAACTTTATAAATTAAATTTACTAAGCGAAAAACCATACTTTAAAATACTCCCATTCGTTGTCCGGAGTAAGTTGGCATCTATGGCCTCTTGGCTGGTAGGGAGGGGGGGGGGGAAACGCAACCCCTGATATACCTAACATGATGTTGACATGGAATAAAAACTACAGACCTGAGGGATGGTAAAGGATCCCGATATCATTTTTCTTTTGCTATTCTAATCTAAACAATTTTGACACCTTTTGTCGCAACTCTCTTTAGATATAAAATCCTCACCCTCCGATTTCAAATTCCCTCCCTATAGAAGCCCATAATTTTACTGGCTTTCATCCTTAAAAAAAAAATAATCTGATCTAAAAAATAATAATAATCTGATAATAGTAATACCAAGTAATAGTAATAATTTGATTAACCGAGGTAATGAACTGCCTGGAATGCTTAGGTCATTTCCCGATCTACTTATGCCCAGCATTCTTTACAGTGATGTATTTTTAAGGTAATGAGTCATCATTACCGACACTAATATTTTTTTAAAGTTTAGGGCCATTGCCCGGTATTCTTGCCCAGAAACATATATTCTTGACTTGTACAGGGTTGCCACGGGCTGCTAAAATTGCAAAAAGTGCTAACTGTTAAAATTCGAAATTTTATTAAAAGAAATTAAAATTTGCAACTTTTAAAAGCATATATTTTTTTTAGTTTACTATTGAAACAAACTAACTAATACAGTTGTTTCGGAGTTCCTATCCGAATGGGATAATTGGAGGATGGGAAGGGTGGTGCTGCTTTAAATTAAAGTTAAATCTCAAGTTGGGGTACATAATTTAATACCTGGGTTACATGTGAAGCAAAATCGCAGTTTGATACATAAAAAAAATTATACGAATGCGAAAAAGAGATAAAAAGGTGAAAAAAGAAAAATATTTACAAGTATATACATGAGGGGAAGACTCCCTATGCATTCCCTCGCCTTCCCCCGGTAACCGGGCTTCTCAGGTGCAGAGTGCATAGTTCGTCTAAGGTGGAGGGGATAAACTTAATTATCGGAAATGCTTTGAAAGCACGCAATCGCTTAGAAAGTAAGCGGTAATCGAGTTAAATTTAACGTTGTTGTCTATAAAATCTATGTCTAGTAATTTATTAAAATCGCAGGTAGAACACTCTTTAACTCCTTTAAAAAAAGGAAGCATTAATTTTAAATAGGTATTTGTCGATTTTATCAATTTTTTACTATAGAAAGTAAATGCAAAAATGTTTGTATATGAATAATATGAAGTCATAGTGGTAGATATAATAAATATATAAAAATGAATTCAGTTTCTACTATTTTTTACATAAATAGTCGCCTGTGGCGTATCTGCTAGTACTTCTCTGACTGCTATTTTTTAAGGGTAAGTATCGTTGGCCAGTGAATACTTGCGCGGTATTCCTTGCACCGATGTTTTTTAATGTTAAGAGCCATTGCCAGATATTCATTTTCCCTATATTCCTTACGCTAATGGTTTTTAAGTTTAAAGGTCATTGCCCGGTATTTCCTACTCTAAAACATTTTTCCAAATATATTCTAAGAGCAAAAAACGGAGCTACTTCCAAGCAAAAGAGAAAAAAGGACGAACAGAATTTACATTCCAGAACTCTATAAACCGCCGAGAAAGGTTTCGAGGAAAAATGTATTTTTGTTAGGAATTATTGTTTAATTTGGAACTTACCTGGAATGATTGCAACGAGAAGACAGGCAGATCCAGTGATAGCCAAAGCTGTTACTGAACACCATCGTCGACCCCATTTCTCCATGAAATACCAACTAAACACAAGTCCAGGTATCTCAACAAGAGCTAGCAGAAAGAAATTCAGAAATGGATCACCAGCGAGATTTGAAGCGTTGATTTGAAGACCATAATAGGCAAAGATATCTGCGACCCTGCAAGGAGGAAACAATCGTGAACTTTATTCATCGCATACCTTTTTTTTGTTGCTTTGAATTGAATTGAATTGTATGTAGGATTTAAAGGCACAAGGTCCACGTAGAACACTGTGTATTCCACTAGTCTGAAAAAGGAAATACTCTCTAGAACTCTCATGAGTGAAATAATACAGAGTGTTTCGTAAAGGCCATCCTAAATATGCATTTTTAGAATACTCATTAAAAATTAAAACCAAAAGGCATACCAGTCAGGGGTCACAAGTTAATAGTTATCCAAAAAAAAATAAAATTAAATGTTTTCCAATTTGCATATTTTTTATAAGGATTCTGAAAACACTTGTCCCACAAGGAACTGATCGTAGGACACATTTCCCACTATATCATTGATGACAAGCATCACTGGCAGCAGTCAGAGAGTGGGTGGGGGACCATTGAGCTTTTTAAACAGGCATTTTAAGTCATATCTAGTTTAACCCTCACCTCCTACATCAGAAAGCCTCCACGTGGTATTTTGTAAGTAGTCTGCGCAGATTATTTAAAAAGTGAACCAGTTGTGCTCTTGAACCCAAATTCTATTATAAGTGTAATTGATAAAAAATTTATCATATATATTTGAGAATTGAATCTGTAGTGGTTGACAAGTAAATTAGACAAATCAATAATATTCATAAATTAAAGAAAATTTTAGACATATATTTGCTACCACTTTCTTACTTTTACTAGATTTTTTATTAAATGGCTTTTCGTAAAAGGTTTAACATCATCTTCACAGTGGTTTGATCGCACTACTTATAAGAAACCTTGTAGAAGCTGAACCTAATAGGCACCAATGTTCTCATTTCGGGAACATGTTCTTTCGTCAAAAAGTATACACTGGAAACTCAATTTTTTATGTTTCATAATTTGAAATTTAAGGATATTCAGTTATTTATTTTCAGAATTATTTATTTTAGAATTTTTTTCAAGCGGCGAGAAATTTTATTCTACTACAATACATTAAGAATTTTATTTTTTCGGAAATTATGTACATGCAGACGTGCCAATTTGCTCCCGATAGCGGATAAATATTTTCGAGTGGTAGTCTTTTAATGTGTAATTCTTGATTTAGTAAATTCGACTTACAGGATTTTTATTCACAACTACTTTTAAATAGTTGAAAGGTTTATGTTATACGTTACTTTGTTACAACTTGAGCCCCTCAAAAAGTTGGCAAATTTAACCGAAAATCTGTACATTTTAGTTTGTAGTTCTCTATCGCTTTTTGTAATGTTTAGTCGAATCTGGAGCAGTTAGCATCTCTGTATATCTTGAAAACTAAATCTCTAAAATATTCAATAAGATTAAATTTTAGAATTTTATCACTTTTTTCGTAAGACACTTTTTACAAAAATACAGAAAGATGGCAGGGAACGGCATTATGTCAACCGATCACGAGAATTTTCGTGACCTTCATACCAAATTCGACGATTTTCACGGAATTTTTTCCTCANGCCTCTATACGGTATTTTAAAAGTAGTCTGCGCAAACTATCTAAAAAGTGAACCAGTTGAGAGCATGAACCCAAATTCTATTTTAAGTGTAGAGTTTTTGGTAGAAATCACATAAATCTCAGTACGCTGCCGCGAAGCGGCATTATCCGATTCATCTGCATACCTGCCAACTTTCACTCCTTCCGAGAATGGTTTTCAGAGTGGTTGTAAAACAATAACTGAAAATCAATCTGATTCAAAAATATATTTATATTTTGATCCTGTTGAAATTTGCTCGCGTCAAGATTATTATGCTTTCATATATTTATTGTAATTATTTATATGTAGTGGTGGTCTGACTCATCTATAATTATCATTATAATTCAAAAAGTTAATTGGAATAACCTGAGTATTGCTACCACCATAAATATGAAAATAAAATCTTCCGGAAAATCCGGAAGAGTTGGCAGGCATGCATCCGTTGTAATAAATCGATGATGAGGAGGCATTTTAAGTGCATACCTGCCAACTTTTAATCCCTTCCAATATGATTTTTCCCAGTGGTATTAAATTGGAATAAAAATTTCAATTTTAAGCAAAAAAATACGTTGTATTTGAAAAAGCTTAAACTTCCTACCATGATAGTAACACATATTAATATATATGCTTAGTTTTCTTAAGAATAGTGGTGATGAAAATCATTTAAAAGTTTAGTTTATAAAAGAAAAAATAGTATATATTTACTACCACTTTAAATACAAAAATAAAATTTTACGCCAAATGCGTAAAAGTTGGCAGGTATGTAAAGTGTAATTGAGAGAAATTTATCATATATATTTGAGAATTGAATCTATAGTGGTTGACAAGTAAATAAGAGAAACCAATTATATTGATAAATTAAAAAATTTTTTAGACATATATTTGCTACCACTTTCTTATTTTTACTATATTATTTATTAAATGGCTCTTTCGTTATCTAGTTTGCCTTCATAGTGGTCTGGTCAGACTACCTATAAGAAACCGCGTGGAGGCTTTCAATTGTAGTTGGCGTTGGTTTAACCAAAAATCTGCACATTTTGGTTAAACCAACCAGTAGTTCTCTACCAGTAGTTCTCTACCGCTTTTTGTAATGTTTAATCGAATCTGGAGCAGTTAGCATCTCTGTATATCTTACTTTACTTACTTTATTTACAAAAATTGGGCACCTGGGCCACTTAGCGGCCCCTATCCCATACATCTAGAAATTTTCAGAAAATTTATAGTAATAACATTTTGAATGCAGCATTCGATGTGGTAGCTAGTAGAAAAACAAGCACTTTGCTTGAGTAAATATAACGTTTGAATATCTGATTCATCCAATCTAAGTTGACATATATAAATATAAACATAATTTGACATATATATACATAAGTTGACATAAATAAATATTAACATAAATTGATACATATTTCATCTGTATATCGTGAAAACTAAATCTCTAAATTATTCAATAAGATTAAATTTTAGAATTTTATCACTTTTTTCGTAAGACACTTTTTACAAAAATACTGAAAGATGGCAGGGAACGGCATAGTGTCAACCAAACGCGAGAATTTTCATGACTTTCATACCAAATTCGACGATTTTCGCGGACTTTTTTCCGGAATGATTTTTAAAATACTATATATCAAACGAATTCAAAATTGAAGAATAGGAATTAGTTTTAAAAAAGAAGGGTAATTGAAAGAACCACATAAATTTTTTTTTTGGTTGATATTCTCGCCAAAGGGTAAACAAACTGGCTTAGACTATCCGCATCAACAAACCTTTAAAGAAGGAATAAAGTAAAAACAAAAAAAAGTGAAGTTTTAGAAAATATATATGTTAAAATATTTTTTTTTCCGAGAAAAAATATTTTTTTCTCATTTTCTTGTTAACCAAATCAAATTAATAACAAAGTTATCATTTCAAATCAATAATTCAATTGATTAAATAAGGAAACAAGACAAGCTTCTGTCGCGATTTTAATAATGGAGTTTGATCAACACGTTGAGCGCCGCGTCAGCCATCGGTGGCTGACACTCAAATTACATTTAGGCTGCGTCAGCCTCCGGAGGCTGACACTGAAATTACATTTAGGCTGCGTCTGCCGCCGCTTACTGACACTGACCTTTAATATAGGCCGCGAAAAACAGCTGGCTGACAGCGTATAACATGATATAGAACTATAAAATTTGCACTCTTTTATGAAATTGCACAAAAATTTATTCAAAATTTACTTAAGTATTGTGATTCTTGGTTTAATAAATTCAATTTAGTAGATTTTTATCCACCACTATTTCTACATAATTCGTAGGCTTATATAATTCACCACTTTTATCAGATATGTCATGATAAACCTTCTAAAGAAATAGCAAAATCTGTATAATATTTGCAAATTTAGTTTGTAGTTATTTACCGTGGCCAGATGGGCAAGACATGTAAAATTAACGTGGCGTTCAAAAAGTACGTACATCCCGAAGGGGGGGGGATTTGCTATTTTGTACGGTTTTGTATGATGGGGAGGGGGGGAGGTATTAATTCAAAGTACCTACATAAAGTTGGGTGTTATTGTTTAAATAATTTAAATTAATAAATTATATTAAATAAATATTTAATTTTATTTAAAACATAATTATATAAATTTTTATGAAAAAGGAGGGATAGACTAATAAAATGTACGTACTCTAAGGGGGGCGAGTAAGACCTTGTGTACGGTTATGTACGAAGGGGGGGAGGGGGTTAAAATTTTTCCATTTTTGTGTACATACTTTTTGAACGGCCCTATACTTATATTGGTAAATTTTTCAAGTAGTCTGAGCAGGGTGATGATCTTACCAACAAAATGAAAGAATCAGAAATTTTTTCCGCAGATTTGGATATCGTAATAAATCGAAGGCTGTATTGCTGGCGGAATCCAATTTCTCTTTCTTTATTCTTTCTCCTAGTTTCTGAAATGAGAAAAATCTTTGATATAGCTTAATACATATGAGGAATGAAATGAGTGACTTAATTAACTTAAATCATATTTTGTACATTTAATCCTTTACAGTCGTATTTTATTGACACTATTATTACATTTATTAATTCGTGACTGAGAGATGCAATACGACCGTGAAGTGGTAACAGTTTTGCATATTTTATATTGGATATATTAACTGAGTATTTATAATTTACAAAATTATTTTTATAATCTGGGTCTTTCAACGTGTGGTACCGGTATCACAGTGGTACATAAAGTAGTCTTAGCGTCGTTAACGGTAGTTTTATAAGTATAGGCGGAAAAAACCCCCTCATATATGAACTATTGCACGGATTTTCGTTCTGTGAATTCTACTATTCTCGTATTTTGTTCTTTGGGTCGGAGAATTTAAATTTTCCGTAAAAGAATTATTCAAAAGATGGGAACGGAGCTTTCAAAAGATAAGAATAGAAATTCTGAGCCATTTGAAAGAAATTATACGAACAAAACTTTGACCAGTTATAGCAGATTAAATTAAATTAAAAAAAAAAAAGGAAAAAAATCTAGCATTTCAAAACTTAGTTTGCTAACTATTTTCAAAACTAATTTAGGGTACTGAATCCAAATTTGTTGAAAAGAGATGATTTTCTTCAGAAAAAGATCGTTATTTTGCATCAAAATACGCTTATTTTACTACGTTTACGTCCCGCAGTAAACTGATTGTTAAGACACGGTTCCCAGCAGATCACGGATGTCAAATCTCACTGGCTTCGGTCAGTGTGCAGGTGGGTGACCACTTGCATCAGACTGCATAGGGACCGAGTGTGCGGTATTAGTCCTCGTTAACTGTTCTACCGTAAAGTTCTCGACTTCGCGTGCAGGTCGTCGGACTACCGAAGCTGGGGTGCCATCCCCTCTGCAGAGGATCAAAATTGTGATGGCATGTCTTCGGATCATTCTCAGGGATGCTTCCCAGACCGCCGCCAATAGTCCATTGTACAGCTCTAGGGCGACGTAAATGAACAACAACAACAACATCTACCACGTTTACTGTAAATTGTAATGCATATTTTAAGACATTCTTTTGCGATGATGCCAAAGCACTTTACAAAAGGACAATTTGGCTAAAGTTATAAGGATAATCCTTTTTTTACCGACAGTACATTGTATATTTGGTATATTTTATCCTCATTGGTATATTTTACAATGCACGTAGTCAGCAGGCACATACCTGAAGTTTCATTCGCAAGTCCACAGGATCCATGTTTGTGCGGTTTGTATCGGATATTCTTTGCATTTCTCTCACAGCTTCTTTGTATTTTCCTCGGGATATCAGCCATCTTGGTGATTCTGGCATATATCTATAAACAGATTAAAAAAAACATTCAAGGATTTTCAAGTGTTTCTGGAAAGTGATGTACTCGACCGAAAGTTCTTACCTCCAGTATAGGAACATCAGTGCTGAAACCGAAGAAGTTATCAATCCGAAAGGAACCCAGTGTTTCGTAAAGTAGGCTATTAGTGGTAAAAAGCAGAGTCCAACAGTCCATGATCCACTAGCTGTTCCGTTCATCAGAGTTCGTTTTGAGAGTCCAACAACTTCCAGCACTGAAGATAACAAATTATCAATAGTTACGTTTATGAACACAGCTGCCAACTTATACGGTTGTTGAAGATTATTTTTCTTAGTAGAAGAAACATTTGTGTTTTAATGTATAAATCTTGATTATTAAAGTTTTTCCCACAATGGCCGATGAAAATCTCCCATATCTGTATATAATATGTATCAAGCAGTTACGCTTTTAAGGGCTAGTTAAGTGGCTCTATTTTTAGAATTATTTTCATATTTCAACATTTATTTTACTACATTATTTGTAAAATCTTCCCCAAAGACTGTACAATCTGGCATTAATGCATGAAGATCATGTTTGAATAGTAAGTTAACGCCGTTTTTTTTAAACAAACAGTTACCTTCACTTTCATGTTCGTACAAGTTTTTTCTACAAGTTTATTCAGTTTATTTTTGTTGCCAAACAGATCACATTAAAAACCAGACAAATTAATACACTCATTAAACTTCTGAGGCTCTATATCTCAAACAAAGTGGAGTTGTTTCACTATTGAATAAAGCTTTCATATGAAAATTTTATTTGAATAGTGGGCCAGTTCCACTAGTTAAAGAAATGAAGTTAGCTACACTTTCATATCCATACAAATGATTTTTTATTATATTTCAAATATAGTACATCTTCAACTTATTTATATTACCTTCAGAGGGCATCACAAGAGCAACAGACTTTTCAGTATTTATTAGTTTTCAAGGCTTAGTATTTCATAATCAATTAAAATGGAATTTGTTCATTATTTAAATAAAGCTTTAATTTAGAACTTGTTTAAATAAGATTTTTTCAATTACTGCGCTTCTCACAGGAAACTTACCTTTTTCAAGTAAACACGTTTTCCCCGGCCCCAATGATACTTCTTTGTTTTCTTTTTATTGCATCAAACTTAGTTCTTAGCATTGTGTGATTAGTCTATCAAGAATATATAATATTTCTTATATATTTTGTGCAATATAACCAATTCTATCAGTTGTGCACGAAGTTCTTCTATTACAACTTTTTTTGGTGTGAATGAGATGGCCGTGAACTTAACACTAGGTTTAAGGGACGCGTCATTTTGACGCATTTCGAATTTTATACGGAAAATTACAAAACCCATTTGCATTTTTATTTTATCTCTTGTAATGACTTTTATCCATTGATCGAGGTAAATGTATATTGAAGTCTATTTTCTTCAAAAGCGTTGAAATTGTCTTTGTGGTATACCTATCTCTACGGATATGCGTCAATTTGACGCGATCATAATTTAGACAAATTACGATCGCATGTTTAGACAAATTAAGTGTGTCGTGTGTAAACATGCAAACATCCCATCAATAATAATTCGGAATGTACCGACGATACTTCGATCCGTTATCCGATATCGTTATCTCAAATGAAGCAAGCGATAAACAACTGTTGCCGATAAGAAATAATAGAAAGAACAAAAGCAGAATGTCAATTGATGTCAGATTTTGAAGGTTTCAGTTGCTTAGTTCTAGTATTGAAAAATAAAATACTAGATTATTTCATAAATATATATGTCATATTTTTTCTTATAGTATATAATAACATTGCTTTTCAAGTGCAGAAATGCCAACTGCTCCGGACACGCCAAAAAAAAATTAAAAAAACGATAAATAACTGCGAAATAAATTTTCCAAACATACAGTGGTGAATCATAAAAGCCTACGAATTATTTAGAAATAGTGGTGGATAAAAATCTATTAAATTGAATTTATTAAACCAAGAATCACAATTGATAAATTACTACTTTAAAATATATATTTGTTGTCCGGAGCAAGTTGGCATCTCTATAAGTGCTGTTATATGTACTCGTTCATGCGTCAAACTGACGCGTGTTCGTAGAGATAGGTATATAAGAAACGTCAGTAAATCTAGAGTTAATAAAATGTCTACTCATTTCAAAGTAAGGAAAGTTGATCCAACATACTCTTTATACCTCAGACCCTTGAATAATACTCATTTTGTCTTTTATATTTATTAGCTGTTGTTGTTGGATATTTTTTTCTCCAATGCCAGCCTGGGGAATGACCTACGTCATACAGGCATCTGAAGGGCAGATTTGTTGACCACTCTTTCAGGGGCACCATATTAGGAAGGCCAACGTTGCTCCTACAGTAATGGCAGATAGTACAGAGAAAGAAAAAAAATACATGCCTTCCCGGGTTCGAATCCAGAACCTTTCTGATGCAAGGGAAGTTCCCTAACCCCTACACAGACCGGTCGGCTTGTTGGATATTCAAGCAATTGAAACTCCTTTTAAATGAAGTTTTTAAGTAACCTACATTAGCTAAATTAAATTAAATATATCAAGCGAGAATCTTCGGAAGATACTACTTTTATAAAAAAAAAGTAGTACTAATGCAACAAATCTCCCATGAATATCAAAACTATGAATATCTTAAAGCATACTTTGGTGATAAAGCAATTAACATTAACCTTTTGCACTCCGAGTATTTTAATATGCTGTTTGAACTAATGCAAACACTAATTCATTTAAACTACGTAGTATATTATTTCATTATTAGGTCTATTGGAATGTTCTGCTTTCAGAGTTGTATAGGTAGAACTTTTTCAGAAAAACTAGACAGAGAACCTTCAATACAATGTGTTATATTTTTCAAATTCTGATTGGAAGACGGCCTTGTATTTTAGATTCTTTGAATGACACATCCGATTTGATTACATACTCAAAATCAGTTTTCTTTTTTCTCTTTTATTTGAGAAAATTAAATAAGGACAACAAAAGGCATATTTAGAATTTTCTCCTTCCGTTTTCATGTCTTTGAAAGTTTGGTTCAGACGGATGGAAAGAGGCCTCGTAATATAGTATTGCGTAAATAATGCAGATATTTTCGTGTCACTGATTTTAAATCTGCAGTCAATTTCTCTCTACAAGCTACAGTTTTGCTTCCAATTTAAAAATATAGTCGAATCCAGGATATTTTGAAATTCCCTCAAGAGAATGCAAAGTGTCCCTACTTTTCTGCTACGCAAGGAGTGGTAGAAAAAAGGTGAAAATACATTTCAGTTTATGACGCGATACGTTAATGTCATCTCAAGTGTTATTTTCAAAGGAGCTGAAAAGTGTATATGCATGTATTTAAACCTATACGTTTTTTGATAAGCTTGAACCTTTAGATAAATGATAAACTAAGTTAAAAATATCATATTGCATACAAATCTGTATCTTTCGGAACAAAACTAATTTAAATTTTAAAATCCCCTCAACTGAATTAGGTAAGATCAAGATCTTGTGTAAATGGAACAAAAAAATTTGTTCCTAAGTGTAATTCTTAAATATTAGATTAATATATTTTCCGTAATTAAAATTGAATTCCACCTTTGTTTCTATGACGTTACATTAACACTAGATTTACGGACGTTTCTTATATACCAATCACTACGAACACGCGTCAATTTGACGCATGAACGAATACATATAACAGCACTTACAGAGATGCCAACTTGCTCCGGACAGCAAATATATATTTTAAAGTGTTAGTTTATCAATTATGATTCTCATTTTAATAAATTAAATTTAAAATTTTTTTATCCACCACTATTCTAAATAATTCATAGGCTTAAATAATTCATCACTATTATTAATTGCAAAATTTATTTAGTAGCTCTTTACCGTATTTTTTAATTATTTTGGCGTCTCCGGAGATTGCAAAGGGCTGGCGAAAATTTCTATTGGCGTTAAAGGAGCGTTCTCGCAAATCGCCAAACAGCTGTGTGCGCATGTTTTTGTTTTATTTTCGGTATCGCATAACATTCAACAAGTTACATATGGGTGCGACATTTCAATTAAGCGGATCTTCATTTGATTCTTCTGCATCAAATAAAATATAAAGCGTATTTTTTTGTTATAGCGCCGACATAATCGTTTGTATCTGTTGACTAAATTGTGTTTATTAGCGTTTTTTAAAAGGTCGTAATAGAACTAAGATAGAAAAATTACACATTATTACATATTCTATAGTTTCATAACTTTCATTAAATGTATTTCGAGTAGTGAAATTCTTTTCCTACTCATCCACTAATTAGAATTAATAATTTCACAATAACCTTTAATCCTTAATAATGAAATGATTATTATAATAAAGTTTGTTTACTTAAAAGATTAAAAAAATTTTTTTTTATTGTTTAGCAGAGACTTAGTTTCCAATTCTATATTCATTAATTAAACTTAATGGTTCTGCTCGATAACCATTTACAATTTTTTTAAAATTTTATTTAATTTTCTGTTATTATGAAATTCTTTAAATATTTTTCGACGTAGAGATTATTTAGCAATAATGCGAAAAGCTGAAATTTATAAATGTATAATATTTATAAATGTTTAAGAGAATTTTTAGCAGCTATTTTGTACTAATTATTTTAATTGAAATGTTCATTATACGCAGTTTTATAATAATAATCGTAAAATTCATTGAACAATTGAGTATTACATTTTAAAATGCAAGTATAATTTAATAATTATTTCATTTTATAACTGCAAAACGGTAGATAAGTAACTTCGTTATAAAGTTTTACATGATACGAGAATATTATACGATTGCTTTATAATGAAAGAACAACAATTTAAGTTTTAAACTTTTTGTGGAAAAGAAAAAATTGAAAATTTCTCCTGTCATCGGTGTTAGCGATTAGAGAGTCTTTTATCGTATAAATATTAAGTCAGTATTGTTCCCTTTTAAATAAAAATGCATTTTGCTCCGGAAAAAAAAATTACTTGAATTTTGTCGATAGAAATTCCCTAATTATAGCAGCAAAAACTTTTAAATTTCTAATCAAACTTTCCTTCATTATAATTTTGTGTAAATAATTATTATTAATAATATAAATGACTATTGAAAGGAATTAATTGAGAATGTCCAATTTTAATGAATTAACTGTTTACGCAATCAGATTAATAATTTTTTTCATAATTTACAAATGGAGAAAAAGTCTTTACAGTTTAAAAGTGAAGAGAAAAAT